TCACTGAAGAATGTCATTTAAAAAGTGAGTATAAAACATCATCATGTGTATGTTGGTTAAAATGTTATAGCAGATATATTATGTGACTTTTGGTAGTTTGTCATTACAAATGTCATGTTACAGTGCGTCCTGTTGTAAAATGCCTTTTGCTGCATGTGTTCTGTCCCTGCAGGGCGACAGCGGAGGCCCTCTAGTGTGTAACGCCCAGAACAAGTTTGTCCTGCAGGGCGTCACATCGTGGGGTTTGGGCTGCGCCAACGCCATGAAACCCGGCGTCTACGCTCGAGTCTCTAAGTTTGTCGACTGGATTGACAGAACCATCAAAGCCAATTAAAAACGACTCACCTGAAAATGTGAGTGGTTTCAGGAAGCGAATGTACGTTGTGCTTTTTGAGGATGTCTTAACCTTAGTGGTTTGCTGCAACATGACTTGTGTTTGTAGGCTCGTATTATCTGATGTCAGAACGTGTTTGGTTTTCTGTGGTGGAAGCACAACAAGCGCAGTATATTACTGGTTTTAACATGGAAAGGTCTGTTCTCTGTCAGAGCTAAAAAATAAAACTTTGTACGAAGAATATGAGGAAAGTCATACTTTATAGAGAACGTCTAGAGAGGAACTTCCTTGTTTTTGAGCCGCTAAGTGAAATAAAAGACAATCAAACAGTTGTTTCTTTGTCGTATATCTGGTCTGATTTTAAAGGTTTCTTCAGGTCTTGACTCTCCACTTGATTCTCCTTTTTCCTGAGAAAAGAATACATTGTGAAATCACACAATAAGGAATAATAGTTAAAATACGGAAATTGTATGTCATTTAACATCATTACTAAATCTAGATATTTCCTGTTAACAATAACCACAGACATAGTTCAAATGAAGTCTTCTGAGGCCATTAAGAGGAGAAACAAAAAAAAATCCCTCCATGAGTTGGGAAACATCTCACCGATTAGGGAACTCAATGTCATCGATGGTCTCAGGTAGAGGAACTCCTCTGGTTTCAGGCAGCATCAACACCAAACCTCCAGCTACGAACGCCACAGCTCCTGCACCATCAATCAACATGATCAGCAGTTTCAGTAATAATCACGACTTTCTGAAATTTTCTGAACAGCTTATAGTAGTTTACTCATTATTATGTTAACTAGCCGAGCTTAGCAGAGCAGCAGAAACTGTTGCTCTTGCAGTCTTTGAGTCCATAAAAGTTAATGTGATTTGTTCTAGTTAAGCACCTTTACATCAAATATTCAAGTCTGGGCTGTGATAGTGGCTAATAATCATCCCAATGCATGAAATAAAGCTTTTACAGGTTATGTATCTGCTACATAATAAGGTGACCTAACATCCTGTTTTCTCAGGACATGTCCTGTTTTCATGTCCTGTCCTGGTTGTTTTTTATAAAGTGATGAAAATGTCCTGGTCCATTCCTGGAGGAGGCATACTTTAAATGTACTGAAATTATACGGCACCCTTATGTAAACTTCAGGTATCAGTTGACTATCTCATTGCCAGGACGAGTGTCCTGGTTTTCGGGAATCAAAATACGCTCACCCTGCTACACGAGGCCTACAACTATTAACCCTTTCATTTGTTTTAACTTCACTAGTTATTGCTGGATTTTAAGGCTGTGCAGATAGTTTCATCCACTTGGCCATTTGTACACATAATAGTAGAGATTTAAACAATTTCAGTAGCCTGTCATTAAAAGCAGAAACCCACCGAAGATGATGAGCGGCAGTTCGAGCCAGATGACAGCCAGTCTGTAGAGCATGAAAGGAGACACGATGCCTCCAATGTCACACAGAGTGGAACACACTGACACTCCCAAGTTCCTGCATCCAGTCAAAATGTTTGAGGTTAGATTCAGCATGTGATGTCTTGCAGTACTCACACACATCAGTATAACAGTGGATCAGCTCCAGGGTGCTCAGTAAACCTGCTGCTGCTTAGCGTTGGTTTAGTCATAAACCAGATTTCTCCGTGATCAGTCCCACAGATGTCTAGATATTTCACTCTGGTCCTCACCTGACATACGTTGGGTAGAACTCAGTGTTAACAAACACCAGGATCTCAAAGGCCATGGTGATCCCCAGCCGACCGATGCAGGCCACCACCGTCTTTAACCAGTATATGTCTGAGGAGGAAGAAACCCAGCATGAGCCATTTTTGTCATCTTAACACTTAACGTTGGCGAACACTCACTGTCAGGGACAAAAGCAGTGATGACGCAGGAAGCTCCAGCTACAATGTTAGCAACGGCGAAAGGGAGGCGTCGGCCGATGCGCTCAATGGTACAGAGGATAAGGAAGGCAGCAGGGAACTCCACCAGGCCGGAGATGAAGAAGTCGAGGTAGACGTTTCCTCCTGCTATCCCCACCCGCATGATGAGGCCCTGATAAACCACAGCGCTTGTGAACCTGCGGAGCACGAACACCAAGATTCAACATCTCCTACATGTTAGGGCTGGTTCAGAATACAAATTTGTGATTTTAGTTGAGTCTCACCAATTGAACATGAGGATGAAAGTATGTTTTCTCATATTTGGTGTTCTGACCAAGTCCAGAACCGAGGCAGAGGCGGAATCACCTTCATCACCAGCCAGTGTCTGGAGCATAAAGCAGTTGTGGACTGTGATGTTTGGGCTGGATCTTTGACGAAGTAGATCAAGACTCAAAACTGCACTAAGTCTTTAGGTTCATGATGACATTACTTCTCAGAAACCAGCACATTTCTACTAAAAGCCTTCACCAGGGTGTTAAACTAAGACAATAGCAGGGTATATTCATGCTTGTTTTGGTCGTTTCATTTGTTGTCTGTAAAACTCTTAAAGTGATCTACCTCAAAGTCCGCCGAGAGTTTCATCTTGTTCTCCTTGGCCAAAGCTTCAGCGATCTCTCGAGCTTGGGCCGACCTGTTCTGAGAGAGGAGCCACCTCGGAGACTCTGGGACGAACCTGACGGACATAACCAGCAGACACAAGCACTGGTGTTGGTTGAAGAGTGGTTATGACAAATACAGTACAGTTAAAGTATGGCTGAGCAACCAAAGTCCTTGTTTAAGAGAGAGGACATAGTTACTGTTAACAAAACTGCAGTAAAAGAAGAAGTGGTACAATCACATGCAACCCCCAGACCTCCACTCCTTTATTGTTGCAATGCTACAGTTTTGAGGAACACATGTACACCTGCTTTTTCATGCAATCATCCAATCAGCCATCATGTGGCAGCATGTAGCATCCTGCAGATAACGCTTGGGAACTTCAGTTAATGTTCACCTCAGCCATCAGAATGAGCATAAAATTACATCTCATTGCCTTCTAAGAACTGCTGGTCTTCAACATGATGCAAATTAGTCCGAAATCTCTCCACCACACAATCAAGAACTGATCCTGTTTGAGAGTAAAGGGAGGCCCACCCCAGTGTCAGTATGGTGTAGCTAATACAACGCTTGTTCTAGTTTTTGCATCAAAGTATAGACAGAAACACAAAACGAAAAACGAGTTAAAGCTTACATCATTTAAAAACAAATATATGTTTCTGACCAGTAATAGACGAGGAAGAAGATGTAGGGTGCAGTGATGATGACCTGCAGCCAGCGCCAGTCGGTGACGAAGTAGGCGAGCAGAGGCAGGATGAGGACGCCGACACTGAAGAACATCTGGAACAAGATGCCCACCGTCCGCCTGTACTCCACTCCAACCATCTCTGTGACTAGAAGGAGGACAGGAAAAGTAGTAAAACTATGCCTTTGGGGTGCCTTTGGCTGCGTAATCTATTTAGACAAATGCCCCAGAAGTCATTTTGGAGAGTCTTTCATTACGCAGCACATATGCGGTCATCCAGTTTCCTTTGACTCCTAAGCCCAAGACGGTCCTCATCACCAGGATGGAGACGTAGTTCGGAGCCACAGCCAGTATGATCCCTGCAACTGCATTCCAGAGGTTAGACACGAGGAAACTGATCTTCCTGCCAAACCTGCGGAATAAAAACACAGCAGGTGAGGATGTGGTTTCTTTAAAATAGTGATTCCAGCATGTGGCACCACTCTAAGTGAAGCCGGTGCTGATGGTAAACAGAGGTAGTGTTGGTAAATGTGGTCGAACAAAACCAGTAGCTTGTGATAGAAGTGAACAATTATCTTACTTGTTTACAGCAAACTACATACTTATTAGACAAATACATATATTTAAAATACTCTCATGATAAGTCTGTTGTGGTTATAAATCAAAAGTGCCATTTGCAAAGGGGTCCATCCATACCTTTGGCCCTTTTCACATGTTTTGTCTGGATCAAACAGTCAGACTTTAGTTTGATAAACAAACCTGGTCTCGGCCGGATCCAACAGAAACACGGCTCATCGTGTTTCTACTGTGAAAACATTTTTTGGGATGGTTTGGACTCTGTGATCGATTAAAGGAAGTTACGGGCTGATGTAGAAGGACCAATGAGCTGCAGTAGCACATGGATAGAGTTTTAAATATGGTCCAACAGGGTCCTAAAAATACAACTAGAAAAACCTAATTGAAAGCTGACACTTCCAGGTGTTTTTAGACAGAACAGGAAAGCAATGGCACCTGAATATACATGAGTTGCAGCAGCACTATACCGAGGTGCACAAAGAAAGAGAAAATGTGTTGTCTCCAGCAATGACAAGGACAAAACTCCTTTTCATGACGACTCGGACAGCTTTCTGGGCTTTCATCTACAAACCAAACAACATGAAGGATGTTGGTGACGTACTGTTTGTGTGTCATATAAAGTTCTTCAATGCGCTCATTAATTGCAACGTGAAACCAAAACTAACCAGATCAGAGCTTTCAGGAGTGACTCATTAAGTCAGTGCAGGTTTCTGTAAAATACTGTTGGAGTTGCCAGCATCTAAAATAAAGAAAATCATGGGCTCACCTGTCAGCAAAGTAGCCGAAAGCAAAGCTGCCAACCAGGAAGCCCACGTTGAGCGTGGACTGATACATGTCCACAAACCATCCGTCTGAACACACCAGGTCGAACTGAGAACAAGAAAAGAGGACATTGCTGTAGGAAACCTCCACATTTGTAGAGTGAAATATCAGCAACCAGAGACTGCTCACCTGTGATTTCACCTACACATCTGCACAATTTTAATACTGATTTAACGGAGAAATACAGGACATTTTTAGTGAGTTATCTGAATTGTAAAGCAGCTGTTTTTAGATAGATAGAGGCTTTATTGTAATTGCAACCAGCGAAACTTGTGTGGTAACTCACAGCAGCAGTGCAATATGGAATACTCTTACAAAATAAAATAAAATAAAATGAAATAAAAAATAATTTGGATAAATACATATGTACACATAGCACAGTGCAGCTAGTAACTAGATAAAACAGTGCAAGTAGTGGAGTGTAAAATAAAGAATAGAATAAAATAGAATTTTATGAGGAACAAATGCATCATATTTCTCATCTCACCTCGGTGACAAAGGACCTTCTGCCTTCATACTCGTACTCCCAGCCGTCCTAAAACACAAAAATACAACACTGATTAAATAAACATAGTCAATGGAGGTGACAAACACAACATCACAGCTTGTGTGTCACTCACAGCAGGTGCCCATAAACGCAGCACAAATGAAAATTCTGGTGATTAGTTGAGTTGGCATGTGGGCTTTCTTGTGTTCCAAGTAAAACAAAAAAACAACTATTACAGTTAATAATTTAAAAAGATTCAAGTAAAAGTTTTTTTTTTTTTCCTGGAGAGCTGCAGGGAGCTGCTTCAGTGTGCCATGTTTTCTGTGACTCTTCATTTTGCCGAATGTCTACAACAGAGGTGGAGAGTGCAAAGTTGGCATCACCTATAGAGGAATAAACGCCACATTAATAGGAAATGCACCTGGTTGAAATAAACCAGAATTTCTCTTTAACTCTGCAGAGATGCCCCCAATTGGTTTATACCCTTGACCCCTCAAAAATCTGCACACCACTGCTCACACAGTAGTTACTTCCAACAAAGGCAGCATGAAAGCTTTCTCTTTTTTTTCCTAATTGAAGTTTTTATTGATTTTTTTTTAAAGCCAGAGCTTGGTGCATTGCAACAAGTACATCTCTCTCTATATATAGTAAGTGTTATATACAGGAGGAGAAAAGCACTTTATAAATAAAAACATATTATTATTATTATTATTGTTATAAAAAAAAAAAAAACACATCCATAGCAGATTCTGAGCCATGATGAAACCCCAGAAGGCGCACTAGGAATGAGTCCCCTCAAAGAAATCCTGTCCACCTATGAAGAATACACTGCAATAGTGAAGGCTACCTTTAGCATTATCATCTACCCACTGTTTTGAGGCTTCAGGGTGGATTTCAATTCTTTACGGGCTCGAAAACCTCATATGGTCTCCCAGAGCTTGTAACGAGTGTCCAGCCTGATTTCATCTGTAGATTTTTTATCAAGAGATTCCAGTTTTTGTTGGTGCCGTCTGTGAAATCCTTCAAAACGCACCACTCACCGTTTAGCAAGTTAACACAAATTCATCCATGGTTGTGAGTTTGTTTATTTCTGGTGTCGGGTCACTGTCAATCAACTGGGATGAACCCTTCAGACTTCTGCTGAACTGCAATTTAACAAACTCTTGATAAGAAATACTAGGCCTTGCTTGTGTGGTAATGAAAATGTAATGCTATAAGGAAAAAAACTGCACCAATTTTATGCATCCAAGTGTGTTTACAGGTCTACAGGAGCACTGCTACGTATGTGGAAGAGGAACACTGATCTCTGTAGACTGCTCCTCATCTCTGCTTGAGGCTATGTTAGCAGATACTACCATAACACAGACTGAACCATCACTGGCTGAGTTGCATTGTGGGTAATGTAGGCCCATGTTTTGAAGGGAAGAATTTAAAAAAATCTGTTTTATCATAAGTCTGACAATGTGTAATAGGAGTGTAGAGCTGGTTGTCATGACAGGAAAGCAGGTTTTTAAACTAAAAAGAAGCCTGAAATGACTCAAAGTCACACTCTTTCATACAAGTTTAAACAACGTTGGTTAACCAATCAGTCTGTGGCGGCATTCTCGCATTGGCGCATCAGTACCGATGCATTTTAGGGCAATGATGGGTTTGCCAGAGCTGAAGAGGGAAGCAACTGTAGCAAAGGAGACTGTGCAGACTACAGATGGAGAATATGATGGGAAAAAACGAGGAAGTATCCAAGAAAAGGTTGTGATTCTCCAGATAAAAAAAAGAAACTCAGAGAAAGGATTACAGTCTAAAAGAAGGCTGGTTTATGTGGAGGTATGCTGTATGTCATGAACACTGACAGTGTTTGTGTAATTACTCTCACTGCCCGACAGGGGAGACACAAGTCCCACACTGCAGGTTTAATCAATGTCAGCAGATGGATGAGTGTTTGAATGGTGAGTGGAAGGTGCTGTATAATGTAAAACCTAAATTAACAAGGCTGAAGCCAAAACAAACAACGACAAGGTGCCAGAAGAATGCAGAGGCAGCGGACTGAAGCAAAATGCTGCTGGGAGACGGGCCAGCTGTTCTGATAAACTCCACCTGCCGAGGTCCTGCAAGGTAACAGAGAAACGACAGACAGGAGGGACTGCTAAAGAAGGAGGCTGTCACACAGGGCAGCTAAGTTTTTAGAGACTTCAACACAGTTCTGGAAGCTGCAATCACATCCGCACAGAAAATGTACATTGTGATGCTCAGAACTGTGTCACGCACTTTAGATGTTGGGATTGTTCTCCATCAGGGAGGTTTCTGATTGCTCCCAGATTCATTCTGCAAAAGAGGAACTAGTCCAAATGTCCACTCAGAGCCATAAAAATCTGTCTTCAGCTACAACAAACCCTGCAGCAGATGTCCTGACCCCACAGAACCCTGATGTCAACATCAAGGAGTTAGTCATTGATTAAATGAAGCAGCAGAAGACTCTGAGACACACTGGATCTACTGAAAAACAAGATGCCTACCTGCCAAGTACCTTAGAAAAGATGTGTGCAAGTGTACCGAGGAGAGCTGGTGCTGTTTTAAGGGTAAAGAGTAAGGACTTAAGATTGATTTTTTTCATTGCACTTCGTAATGGGTTAGCTGGTAAAAAAAAAAAAAAACAGCTTTGAAAACAACTTCAGTTTACTGTCAGTGCCTATAAGTTGTCACAGCACTGCATCCGTCCCTTAATACACAAAAATGAAAATTAAGAACTGTGTTAAACCAACAATAAACTCACACCAAGTAAACAACTGAAGAGGAGAACTGACCTTGCATCTTGTACTTGACACTCCTCTCAGGTCCAGCTCCTTGGAGTCACAGCTGAGATCTGTGGCGTTCCAGTCCACCTCATACTGCTCACAGCTGCTCTGCTGCAGCACTCCAGAGCTGTTGATCAGAGGCACCGTCAGCCTGCGACTGTCTGCCAGGCTCCATCCACAGGCCTGCCTCCTCTCCACCACTGCAGAGTCCCGACACCAGTGATCGGGGGTGAAACCCTGGAACACGATGCCGACGTACACTCCTGCAAAAGGCAAAGATAAGAGGCAGAGCAGAGCGAAGATACGCTTCTGGCAGCGGCCAAACGGCCCGGCCTCCTCCAGAATGTCATCAAAGTTAGCCATCCCTACAGTGAAGCTTAAGAGATCAAAATGAGCAGAGTGTTGTACTGTTCAGCACACCACTGATTAGTGCAAAGTGTCAGTCAGCCTCCAGGTATTTTGACTTTTCATGTGCTGCCTCACTAACCCCAGGTCGATCAGGAGCTAAAGTCCAAAAGGGGCTGTTGAAAATAAAGTTAAAACTGCAGCAGAGGTGAAAGCATGTTACTGTTTAATGGAGTCAGATAGAGGTATTACGCAATCATTGAATAAACTTTATTAAGAGACGATAACCAAACAAACTGCTTCAAGTGACCTCACGGTGTTCCAAAAGAGAATTTATGCACAGTCACTTTAAAATAACACAAAAGACCTTAAGTGCAAAAAAGGCACTGTGACAAGGAGTTTGATTCTTAAGTGAGAGCATCCACAGAAGGAAACTGAAGCTGTTGCAGAGGACAGAGTAACTAAACTCTAAAAGACAGCTGCATATATTCACCTGACAGCTCAATAAACAGACGACTTTTTCTCAGGATCTCTATGATTCTGAGTACAGATTTTGTCTTCTATTGTCTACCACAACCTCAAAGGGATGTTCAACAAAATATTAGTTTATGGGTCCCATCATGCTTGCTTTTTGTTTTTTTTTTTATATTTCTGTCGAACCACAATTCAAAGCAATGTCATGATTTTCATTACATTTTGATTTATTATTACTTTTGTCAGTTTCAATTTATTTCAGTGACAGCTGTTTTTGTTCCTTCTTTAATGGGAGGGTGTGAATAAATGTAAGGACGACTGTAGCTGCCAAGGTTCAGGGGCTGGTCTGGGAAATCAAAGTCTGGCTAAGGTTCTGAGACTGAAATCAGGAACTAGGACAGGCCAGGCAGAGCTGAGCAGAATGGAGTAGGCAGTGGCTAGACAGAGGTTGTAGTCAGAGGCTGGAGCTGACAGGGAAAGATGGAGGAATCCAAGGTTCAGCTTGATCCAGAGAACAGAGGAGCTGGTTCAGCTGGAGTGGGGCGGTGAGGCAGGAGGCTGGTCGGTGAGCTGGAGGCAGAGCAAACAAATGTTAGCCAGGGTACATTTTGGAGCTAGTATCATTCAGGAGGCCTGAGGAAGACTGACTGTGTAGCAGAGTCTATGTTCTGGCGATGAGTAGACGTCTGACCCAGGCTTAAACAGCAGAGGGTGGAGGATTGAGTACAGGTGACTCCACTGAGAGAGACAAAGAGGGAGAGAGAGGTAGAAAGAACCAGACAGAGCCAGGATCAGTGGTCCTGACACTTTGGGTCAAGACTATGAATGTTCTGCTCTCTCTGTGCCTCTCTCTTATTTAACAACACAAAAAGCTTTAAAAACTGCCCATTGTACAAGCAGAGGATTTCAAATATCTCAAGTTCACTGAGCTGAGTTTTTCTTCAATGATAATTATACAGTTCTGTCGATTTGAGACATGTGATATGCTGTGGAAACAGAGAATGTGACTATTTGATTGTGTTGGAATATATTATTTTGTAAAGGCACTGCTAGCTTAGCATTGACCCACACACAGTTTAATGTGTATTAATGCATGAGTTGTGCTAATCTGAGGAAAGGTTAAAAAAAAAAAAAAAAGGACATAAGCATCAGTCCCAGACGCCGAAGGACTGAATGCATGAAGGTTATGCCAGGTCAGATCGAAGAAACGCAGTTGCTCTCACACACACACACACACACACACACACACAACAGTTTGATACCAGAACATAGTGTGCTTCTGCTCTGGTAAAGATGCTTTACAAAACTAACCACACAGGTACATAGCGTACCTGTGCTTTGTTGAGGCTGCTTTCCACTGATATCCTCTCTATGTATCAGCTGACTAAGAAAAGTATTGACAGCCAGAGAGCAGGAAGCACTATTAGGGAGGGTTTTCTTTACAGGGTACGGCTGCTGTGGATTGGATGAATCGTGTGCCAAGAGATATGGACGTATCTGTGCATCAACATATTAGTTATGTTTCGAACTATCATGCATTCTGAATCTATATTTCTCCACTGAACCTATGATCCTGTTTTGCTTTTTTCTACTGAGCATAATGCACGTCCTTGAAGACAACATGGCTGGTGAGAACTGGTTCACATACTGGGAGACAGCAGAGACTCCCCTATTCTACCAGTTGCTTTAGATACACGCCTTTTTGACAACACACAAACACTTTGTATTCGATCCAAGCAGAGAATGCCTTCGGGATCTCGCAAAACTTTCTTGGGATCTTGCAACACCTTTTGCGAGATCTCGCAAAGCTATAGGTAACTTCAGTCCAGTAGGTGGTGGTAATGCACATAGATAGATAGATAGATATATAATAAAGGCTAGATGTCTCGTCTGCGCTGTTGGCCAATGGAATCGCACGGCCACACTGGCGGCCATCTTGATTCGGTGTGCTCGCTCATCCATAACATTGTGTTTTAGTGGTTCATGTACTTCTTAAACAACCATAACTTGCTCAATTTTCTACCGATTTTCAAACAGTTTGGTTTGTTATAAACGTCAGAGGTGTAGTTATAACACTGCACTGATGGATAATTATGTTATACTCTCACTGCCAGCAACAATTTGGATTTTAATTATTTTGCATTTTATTTGTATTTTTGTAATTTGAATTGTAGCCACGTTCATAACGTTTGTAAGAAACCAAGCCGTTTGTAAATCCGTCAAGATTTCAGCGAGATAAGAGTATTTACGTTTGTGCAGATCACTCACCCTCTTCACGTACCACAGGTTCCGCCAGAGAGCTTCCCCGTATCAAGATGGCCGAAGGGTGATCCCGTTCAAAACGCTGCCTTAAGACATCTAGCCTTTATTATGTATCTATGGTAATGCACCTGAACATTAGATGTCAACTGCCAAATCAATTGAAGAAGAAGAAGAACACTATGGGTATACATACTTCTGGGTCTTTTTGGTAGTATGGAGAAAGGACAATGGAGGACACCCACCCATACAAGAGTTTAATTCAGTTTTATTTTGAAATCGGCCTAAAATATAAAGACATTCAAGCAGTGCTTAGCAAGAGGCACAGTTTTCACAAAACATCCAATAAGATTGATGTGACTTTTGTGAGATCCCAAGAAAGTTTTTTGGGATTTCGCAAAAGATACCTCTAATTTTTTTTCCCCCTCTCCCTGTTTTTTCTTTCTCTATGTCCCTTCTGGGGTTCCATATGATTCTTTAAGGCGGAAATCTAAAATAAAACTTTCACAGGAGAAGAGTCTGATATCTGAAGTCTTAAATACGCCTTCAAATCTGCTTCAGTAACCTCAAGTGCAGTAACCCTGCAGTCTGAGGATCACGTGTTTTACTGGGACAAAGTTGTCCAATAAGGTCTTTACGATGACTTTGGTTATTAAGGGCTTTTTATGCAAACCGATGCACCAGTTCCTCTTTCCAACAAAGCAGCAGCTCCACAAATGTTTGCTGAAGTTTCAGTCACACGTTAACATGTAACTATAGTAACCAACTGACATCCTAATGTTTGTAACTAGAATTGTGAGAAAATGTCTGTTCTCCAATGAAAACACTTGGAGCTCTAGTTGTGTTAAAAGAAAACTCTTTAATAATTTAATAATGCAGTGCCAGAACTGGGAACATAACATCAAGTTAATCTAAACACAAAATTCTTCAAAATACAGCTCATAGACAAACATAGAAAACTTTTGATACAGCTGGCCACACAGTCAAAAACTACAATTAAGGAGGTATCTAATATATTCCAAAGCAACACTGTTCAATAACATAAATAAATACTTTGTTCTCTGATGGAAGCTACACAGTTGCTGGATCTTTGTTGGACGATACGTCGTTGTTGGGCAGCAGGTTGGCCAACTGCTGGTTCTTCAGTGCAGCTTTCTCCTTCGCTCTGAAACACACAAAGAGTCACATTATGTACAAGTACAGACATTTAAGTGATGAGAATAAATAATATACTGATTATTTGATATGAATAAATAAGTCAAAAAAAAACAAAAAAAAACATGGCAGCATCTTAAACTGAGTTTGTTAGAAGCTGCATACAGAACATGTAGAGTCCTCAGCAGGCACAGACACACATGCTTCATGTTCTTGCTGCATGGACTCAGCAGTGACTACTCACTTTTCAGGAAACTCGATGTCCTCGATGGTGTCGGGCAGCGGCACTCCTCTGGTCTCAGGAAGCAGCAGCACCAAACCACCAGCCAGGAAAGCCAGAGACCCTGCAGAGCATCATGTTCTTAATGTTAATGCTTTGGAAGTGCTGCTGTTGACCTTTATCTTACATCCAGTTATTACATCTGGCGATCACGTTTGAATTCTCTTTTTCCTTGCTGGTCCCCTCTGATCTGTTAAACAGCTGGATTTCAAGAAATGCGTCACATTAAATAAACATGGATGAGCAGACTTACTTACATGCAGGAAACTGTTTATAACTTGTAGCTTTTATATTAATAATTTAAAAAAAAGGCACATAAAGACCTCTCCATCGTATTGTAAAACCCACCGAAGATGATGAGCGGCAGTTCGAGCCAGATGACAGCCAGTCTGTAGAGCAGGAAGGGAGCCACGATGCCTCCAACGTCACACAAAGTGGAACACACTGACACTCCCAGGTTCCTGCAGACACAAGAACGAGCATTAGGTTCTTTAATTTAATATAATGCAGAGTATATTTAGTAAATAAATTCAAAAGTGAGACAGTAGGAGGCCAGTTGGCTGCTGACTTCCTTTTCCTTGCCTTAAAACATTCGATTGTTAGCATCTATTTTGTGTTGCAGCCTTTGGTGAGCTCACTGATGCTATCAAATTGAGACCTTGCTCTAAAGTTGTGACAAAATTAGAGGAGCGTTTCGCAGCTTACATGCTAATAACTTTGAGAGCTGCTTATGTACGATACAGACGTCACATGTGCTTACTAACTAACTTGCTGCAGATGCCTGTTTCTCCCACCAGGGGGCGCCACATTGAGGCGTTACCTGAATCTCTCCTAAGCAAACAGTGTGTACATTTGTTACCTGACAAACGTTGGGTAGAGCTCAGTGTTAACGAACACCACCATCTCAAAGGCCATGGTGATGCCCAGCCGGCCGATGCAGGCCACCACCGTCTTAAACCAGAACATGCCTACAGGTGCAGAGAGGACAGAAATGTTTTAGAGAGCCAGGACATGAAAACCCGATGAAGTCTGAATGGTTTCCCTGTTTCCAACCAAGACTCACTGTCAGGAATGAAGGCAGTGATGAAGCAGGAAGCTCCAGCAACGATGTTGGCGGCGGCGAAGGGCAGGCGTCGGCCGATGCGCTCAATGGTGAAGAGGATGAGGAAGGCAGCAGGGAACTCCACCAGGCCGGAGATGAGGAAGTCGATGTAGACGTTTCCTCCCAGGATACCCAGCCTCATGATCAAACCCTGGTAGACGACAGCACTGGTGAACCTGGAACAGACAGAGGAACAAAATGACTGACAAACTGATGCTTTTTATGTTCTTCAGGTGGACATCTGTCACATTTAGTTGCTCAAAGTTTGTTTGGATAAAGACAGATTCATTTCTAATTCCCTAATTTCCCAAATTGGTATGTTTGAGATGTCAGATAGTTTTGATTTAGGGAGACTAAAAATGTCCTTGTGTCACAGTAAAGATTCTGATATAATATTAGAATTATATTGTACTTTATTTCTATCTCAGCATATTCCATCTTTAATTTCTAAATTTAAGTTTATTCATCCTATTTAAACTACCACATGGCTGCTGTTACTATTGTACAGTAGTTGTTACTGCTCTGTGTCCAACTGCTCTACTTGTTTGAATTTCCCCCAGGGGACAAATAAAGTTTTATTAAATTGAATTGAATGGAATTCAAGTTTAACTAAATACTCACCAATTGTAGCTGAGAATGAAGGTGTGCTTTCTCATTTTTGGTGTTCTGATCAGGTCCATGAAGGAGGCGGTGGTGGACTCAGCGTTATCATCAGTCAAAGTCTGCAACATCAAATACAAATGTTTTCCCTGTAAATCTGATCGAGTTTCAGATGTTTTTGTTCTTGTTGAAATTCAGCACATTAAATAATTAAATACAAGATGTGAGTGTAATCAGGTGAAGTGTGACGTGTTAACAGCAGGACCTGCACTTGTAGCAGCAACAACAAGAAGTGTTTGCCTAAAGCTAAACTTTGATTCAGGCTCTTACACACTTTGTCTTTCTGTCTGATCTGATGCTTCATGTTTGTGGACTAAACCAGCAGCTACCTCGATGTTCTTCGACAGAGTCTTCTTGTTTTCTTTGGCCATGGCCTCGGTGATCTCCACAGCTTTGGATTTCTTGTTCTGGGAGAGAAGCCATCTTGGAGATTCTGGGATGAGCCTGAAAACATAAAATGCCAGCAACAAAGTTTACATTTAACATTACAAAAGCATTCGAAATTTTATGTCTTGTTGTCTTGTGGGGCTGCAGGGTGGCTCGGTGGTTAGTACTGTCATCTGTTTGTGTCCTGGTGAGGACACCCAGGATCTTTCTGCATAGAGTTTGCATGTTCTCCCCGTGCAGCGTGGGTTCTCTCTGGGTTCTCCAGCTTCCTCCCACACAGTCCAAAAACATGTTGAGGTTAATTGGTGATTCTAAATTGTCCGTAGGTGTGAATGTGAGTGTGCTTGGTTGTCTGTCTCTAAGTGTAGCCCTGTGATAGACTGGTGACCTGTCCAGGGTGTCCCCTGCCTTCACTCTGAGTCAGCTGGGATAGACTCCAGCCCCCCATGACCCGAGTGAGGATTAAGCGGTGTATAGATAATGGATGGATGGGTAGATGGGTGGATGTTTATCTTGCTTGTGATGATTTCTCAGCAGGTTTTGTGTTGATACTTTTGGGATCAAATGAAGTATTATCATGTCAATTGAATTAAGTTAGAATCATAAAGCACCAGTTTAAAATTTAAGTCATGTTGTCATAAGAAACCCAACAAGTCCCTTGACTCCCTTTGAGTGAGGGCTTGGTAACAGTTGGAGGTTCGATGGGTCATGAAACAAGGAAAGCATTTAAGTGTCATTTTATTTCTTCTTCAGTATTTCTGGCGTCAGATACTGTTGATTTCTGTTGCTGAGGTTTCAATAGCAGTGAATGGAAGACAAAGTAAATGTTAAAACACAGGTACTGTAGGTACTGTATATATATATATATATATATATATACATATACTATATCTATATACTGTTAAGGTATAGTTCTTTCTGTGTTTGCTGCAACTTCAAACTAAAAACACATTGGTCTCAAGACTTGTGTTTCAGTGTAAAGCAGTGTTCCTCACCAGTAGTAGGACAGGAAGATGATGTAGGGGACGGTGATGACGACCTGCAGCCAGCGCCAGTCAGTGATGAAATAGGCGAGCAGAGGCAGGAGGAGGATGCCGACACTGAAGAACATCTGGTAAACGACTCCCACTGTCCGTCTGAACTCCACCCCCACGATCTCTGTGACTGAGAGGAAAGAAAAAGTGGTGAATGGAGCTCAGCTGAGTCAGCAACTATTTTCAAACATTTGCTTTCACATTTTAATCACTGATGTTTTTACAGTAACATTTACAAATTGTTACAAATGTGAGCCTGTTTGATATCCTCTTCCAAAATGGTTACTAACTCAGCTGTGATCCACACTAATTCACTACTAGCTTCATACTCACTCATCTTGTTCTATTACAAGTAAATATGTGCAATTAAAACAAATAAAACAAATGGTTCATCTTTTTTTTGGTTCTATCAATAATAAGAAGAAGATGACTAAAGTTTACTGCTATATATTCACCTGATTATGTGCCCGTACAGTGTTCAGTTAAATTATACAATGTCATTAATTCATGTAAAAACAGCTACTGCAGAGAAGCGTCGCACTCAAATGATTAAATGTTCTTACTCAGCACATATCCAGCCACCCAGCCTCCCTTCACTCCGAACCCGTAAAATGTCCTGAAAACCAGTAAAGTCACGTAGTTCGGAGCCACGGCCACCAGGATCCCGGCGATCCCATTCAGCAAGTTGGACATGAGGAAGCTCATTTTCCTGCCAAACCTGAAGACAGACAGACAACAGCAGCCGTCAGCCTCACTGCAAACTGTGTTTCACTGTTAGAACCCGTGAAATTATAATTCCACGCATTTGAATCAGTGTGTAATCATTGGCACAGTACGAACAGAGGAGTCAGTCCTTACCTATCAGCCAGGTAGCCGATGGCGATGCTCCCAACCAGGAAGCCCACGTTCAGAGTGGCTTGATACATGTCCACCAACCATGCGTCTGAACACACCAGGTCAAACTGGAGAACACACACTCAGTCAGACTTCTCTGCTCATGTTTGTTTCCTTAACAGAAACAGATTTTAAAACCGGTCTTACAAGTTAGAAATTGTGTCCACTTTGTGTTCTCCTGATGGGTAACCCTGACTGGGTTTATCACTGTTGAATCATTTGTGACAAACATCAGCAGTGTGTACCTGCTGTTTGCACTCTACTGCTGCACTGATCTCGTCTATTAGCATCGGTTTGGGTCACAGAGGTAACTGTGAGTTCCTCTGAAAGATAATTAACCAGCGATCTTTAAAAAGCAAAAAAACAGAAGGCTGTTTAATAGCACTTAATGCTGTTCTGATGATATTTTTAGAATCCTCTAAAACATCTGTATGGAATAAGATTTGGCCCTTTGGACAATAAAAAACATTTTACATCTATTTCCCCATTTTCTTACTCAGGAGGAAAACAGTGGTGCCACTTGGGAAAGATGGAATAATAATAATAATAATAATAATTTTGAATCATTAGGTGGACAGAACATTTGTCATCAAGATGGTTAGAAGAGTCTTTGAGGGTTCTAGAAGTGTCCTCAAATGATGTCCTGGGTTTTCCAAACATCGCTGATTGAATATCTTTGAGAGAATGCAAGTGTCTCTTTAGGTGCCCCAGTGACGACGTAAAAAAAATGCACTGTTTGTTTGGCTGCACTCCACTTCTTGTTAGATTAGCTTAGCCAGGCTAGCTGTTTCCCCCTGCTTTCAGCCTCTGTGCTAAGCTAAGCTAAGCTAATCACTTTTTTGCTCGCCTACAGACATGTGATTGGTATCTATCTTCTTGTGTAACTCACAAAAAGAAAGCAAATAAGGCTATTTCCCAAAATGTCAAACTATGAACTGAAAATTAAACGGGATTACTTTGATTTTCTTCTTAAAGCCTACATTTTTTATTTTATTCAAATTTCATGTTATTCACATGTGTACATACATATGCCTTCTGGTGATGTGACCAGAACTACAGTCTGTAATGTATAGATGCTCTATCCAAAATTAGACTGACTTTATTAATCCCAGGAGGAAATTCTGTAATTATTCGCAACTTAAAAGCTACAAATATGTAAAATAAGATGTTTAAGTGCTGTTGTTTTTTTTTAATAACAATATTTTCCCAACCATCCTGTCATATGTAACCATATCCAAATCATCATTTCACCCCAAATAGCTCTTTTTTTTTTTGTAAATTGTTCATTCCACATTTTAAATAAAGCAACTTTAAGCATTAAGTAACTTATGCTAAAACATCCGATGGTAGGAAGTCTGTGAAAACTCAACTCGATTCAAAACAGCTGCTTGATATATGTTGAATATACAGATATTATATGTATTATATTGTGCTTTTGTATGTTTTTCTTTACTAATTAATGCATAAAAATGTGTATATAAATATGTATAAATATATAAAATCTGCTGAATTGTCTCTTGCCTCTAGTTAATTATACCCAGTTGCTATTATTTCATTTCATTTCTCCAAGGCCTAAAATGTAGGCTTTATTTTCATTTCCATAATTTGTTTGTTTTGTGCTCTTCCCTGGTTGTACTTGTCTCTGACCTCAGTAACAAAAGACTGCCTTCCCTCGTAGTCGTACTCCCAGCCATCTTTGCAGCCAGTTGTGGGAGTTCTGCCCAGGTCCAGCTCCTTGGAATCACAGGTGAGATCTGTGGCGTTCCAGTTCACCTCAAACTGCTCACAGGTGCTCTGCTGCAGCACTCCAGAGCTGTTGACCAGAGGCACCGTCAGCCTGCGACTGTCTGCCAGGCTCCATCCACAGGCCTGCCTCCTCTCCACCACCGCAGAGTCCCGACACCAGTGATCGGGGGTGAAACCCTGGAACACGATGCCGACGTACACCCCGGCCCAGGGCATAGACACCATACACAGCAGGGCGAAGATACGCTTCTGGCAGCGGCCGAACTTCCCAGCTTCTTCCAGGATGTCGTCAAAAGTGGTCATGGTTGCAGAGGTGCTGGTTTCTGTCCTTCAAAACAACTGCAGGAAAACAACTCTGCCAGAGTCTAATTTGTATGCTGAGCTTCTCTCCACAGAGTGACCATTGAGAAAAGTCTGTTGTGTGGCTTTTTAACAGGACAAGCAGGAGCAAAGGTCCACAGAAATACGTCGGTGCTCCGCAGGCTGTGCAGTGGAGCATCAAAACACGTTTTCTATCACTTCTACAGACGTCAGACCAGCCGCATGTACCTGGAAGAATGCCCCTGCTGGCCTGCTCAGGGGTTAATAAACATAAAAGCATCAACATGGACACATGTGCTGTCTGCAGGTGCAGCCTGTTCCTGCATCCCATGGACATGTGCACGCAGTCAATCAGTTAACATTTACATGGAGCTTCTGGAAATCTGTTACACATGAAGACCTGAGAGAAACACGAGCACGGGTCCTCCTGAAGGTCAGACCAACCGAGAGTCTAAATCATCAAGTGTCGAGTTCAAACAACTCAAAGTCTTAACGACTTCAACTCCTCAAAGAAAAGCTTCCAGTTCCTTAAGCCACGTCTCAACTCCTCAGAGGAGAGTTTTCAAGTCCAGCTCATGTCTCCACGTCCAACTTAATGTCATTCGCAACATCTGTCTCTAGTCTTAAATCAACTGATACTCGTCCATGTAAGATTCATGTCACCTGAGACAAGCCCACCTGAACCTGAAGTTCTTCCAGGGAAGTCCAAGACAAGTCACGAGTCCTTCTGTAAATGCTAAAAACACAACATCCTTAGTTTCCGAGAAAGTTTATTTCATTACCTCGCACAGGAAGTTAACACCTTCAAGATCAGCCCAACAATCGAGTTCTTTCAGATAAAATCATATCTCAAGTCCAAATCAAATGTCAACAAGGAAGTACCGTCAAAGTCAACTCTCAGGTAATTCACAACAGGTCCAAGTTAGGTCTCAAAGTCATTGATGTAAGTCCAAGTCCAGTCTGTGGGGGGCAGCTGGATGGATTCGTCTTTTCAAAAACTCAGTCATACTGATTGCTTTTAGTTCTCACGTCAGTCAAGCCTCAGGTCCTCATTTGTTCAACCTTCCTCCGTTTTCGTTACTTGTTACAGAGAACGTGATGAAACCACAACATTGATAAACAGCAGATCTCTTATTTATTCAAATAATGCAATATTTTTACATCAATTTCTTCTTAAATAGGAAAACAGGCAAAGAGCTGAAAACATATCAGACAACATAACTTACACCAACCAAAACATAATAATGATCTTCCATAGTACCGAATCGTCACAAAAAAAAAATTCTTGTGCTTTTTTAGTCACTGTATGCTCCCAGCTTGTTTGTCTTCCTCTGAATTAAACTCTTGATCTCAATCGTAGGTGCTAAATTAGCTTCATGCCACGCAAAATAATTCTCTGCTTCAGACAAAAAAAGCACAAGAATGTCCAGTAATTTCTTCAAAAAGAGAAGGTTCAGTACCTTACAGATGAGCCACACAAACTTTGGTGCTAAAGCCAGCAGAAACAGACTTTATGCGATGATGAACAAAAGGGACGTCACAGACTAAACAGTACTTTGTGATCAGAGCGCTTCAGCATCTCCTCAACAGAGATGAGCTACAAAGTGTCAAAACACAGTTAAATGCTTTCACCCCAGTTCAAACCTCCTGACAGGATCTGGAATTTAGTAAAAAGACGGCTGAAGTAAATTTTGAAAAACGTCACTGAATGAATGAAAACATTTAAAATTAACCTTTATAAAAAGTCTGTCAACAACAGGCTCGATTTCATTGAACTTTAGTTGGACGATTTTGGAGTATGTGGAATTTAAATAGTTGATTTGTGATTGCAGTTATTTGTTTGGAAACCTGTCCCGTTATGTCTTACGCTATGAAACATAGATTTTTACTAAGTAAACCCCTTTAATACTTTCTGATCAGTAGCTCAAAGATACGATAATACGACAGGTGAGATGTGAACGAAGCCGCAGATCTTCTTGACCTCAAAAAGTCAAACGTGCTTCTGAAAACATCAACTTCTGTTTGTGATCTGAGATGAACAGGAATACAAGGTACTGATAACAAAGGGATGGAAGCATGATGTTTTCCATTTGTTTCTTTTACGCTTTACTATTATGGCACAACCCAAACTCATCCATATAAAATACTGAGGTTTTCCATGCAAATGCCAATTTTTTTTTTTTAATGCTTTTGTCTTAGAAAAACTTGTTTAACAAATTTGTGTACAAAGCTTTAGAAATACCCTGAATGGTGAATGTTTGTTAGTGAGGTTTCAGCTATGAAATCCCCTTTCTTTCTGCGGACTGAATACTGGCAATGCTGTGTATCTAATGTGATGAATATTTATAGTCTGTGTAAGGGCACAGTTCTCTTATGTCACTCTACGGATCAACAGGTGCTCTCCCAAGAATGTACACAAGTATGTTTGGAGCGATTTAACGATTTGTTCCTATTGTCAGTGAGTCTATCTTTACTGTTCTGGTTGATCATTTAGAAGCCAACAGCACAAGGTGGCATCCTAACATACCTTGTTTTGTTAAGACATCTGATGATGACACCTTAAACTATGGGAGTTTTCACCATTTTTGGACATTTATAACACAAGTTTGATTTTAAAAAAAAGTAGCAGCTTGTTGCAGACCAAGAAAAACTGGTTCATCAGTTTCAAACTGCTTTGCCCACCGCAGAAAATAACATAGTTTGATTTGTTGTGACAGCTCACCGAGGATCACTGAAGCTCCAGTAGCAGTTTGTGAGACTGCAAACTGTACGAATCTGCATTGTGTATACCATTTTGAAAATAGCTACTTTGGTGAGAATTAAAGAAAACAACCTGCGAGTGGGATGGCACCCAAATCCTCTGTGAAAACACTTGTTAGATTTTTGAGCAGAAATACATGTTAAATGCAGGACAACGCTCTACATTTTTGCTTCACTTCTTTCTTTTCGTGTTATCGTTACATGCGTTTGGCTAAACAGGGCTAATTTCTGCACTACAAAAACTTGGCTTTGCTGAGTTAAAATCTCCCTTCTGACGCAGCGACGTCCACAATCACGGACCTGAATCCCAAAACTGAGCCTATAATGTACGAGAGCGTGCGAGCAGGAAAAACAAATCCCAACGTCCATACATTAGTGCCAGTGGTGGCGGGAGAAATATGGCTTTAGCGGGAAGGGAACTTCAAACCAACACCGTCCAAGCATCGCAAGTTTCGCTTCCGTCAACCTCGTCAACCGTCCATTCAAACATAAGGCCATCTCTATTTTTGCACAGAACAGAAAATACATACAGATAATCAGCTCAGGTGACCATTTAAATAATCATAAAAACAAATGTGTGAGCAATTCACAAGTGAGGACAACGAACAAACAAACAAACAAATACATGTCCATATTATAGAACATTATCATCTATGTACAATGTCTCTGATCAAAACAAGACAAAATCAATCTGTCGCCGGACATGATTCATCGATGAAAATGCAAAGTAAATTCATCATCAGGAAGGCATCGTGCTTTCTTTTCGAGGGGAAAGAAAGAGAAAAGATCTGCTATAATAGCAACTGTAAACAGCAAGACAACACAAATGGGTGTCTTCATTCCCTTTAGAAACAACACCTTTACTGCCTGGAGACTAAACCAGCTTCCCATTGTTTCCTCCCAAAATCTGCTTCACTGTTTCACTAATGAGCTACTCAGCTGTACATTTCACCACAGCTGTCCAGTACACTCCTTATGGGCCAAAGGACATAAAAACAAAACCGACTCCAAAGATGGCAAAGTTTTTTCTCTTTAAACACACTCAGTCTGCAGTGAGACATGTAAACAGTGTTGCTGTCAGTAGTCAAAGTGCTAAAGCAATGGCACAGCTTCATTTCAAACTACCAGAAGAAAATAAAAACAGAATACAACTGAATTCTCATGTACATCTTTTCACTGACATGCCTCATTGCAGAGTCACTACATTGAGAAAGCCGCCTTTTGTCCCTCCACTGTGGCTTTTAAGAGTCTCAACTGGCCTGTTCGGTCTTTATTAAATAAATGTGGCGAGGCTGAAGTAACTACAGTGAATGACGATTTAGAATAATGAAAGAAGAAGAAAACAGGGCGCAGATCGAAACGGCCTGAGAAACACTTTAAATAATGAGCTTTTAATAAATAAAAGCCATGTGCTAACCTCGACAGTCTGTAGACAGTGAACTGGACAGAGTCTGAGTAGGCCAAGTAAAGGTGCAGCCCAACAAAAAAATATCCCCAAAAGGGAGGAAAGGTTTCTGCTTTCAATATGTTGTTGGTACTTCATTGTTGTTGTTGCTATTACGGAGACATTCACTGAGAGAGGAGTTCAGATTGGATGGAGGAGGGCAGGAAGGACAGAGTGACATCACACCCTGAGGAGGTCCTCGTCGCTGTCATCCTCGTCCCGTTTCCTGTTGGCTGCCGTGTTGTTACCGTGGTTAAGGCCTGAGGAGCGAGGTTTGCTGCTCTTCTTCTTCCTGTCCGACTCGTCCAGGAGGCCGACCAGGTCTTCATCGCTCTCCTCCTGAAATCAAGGCTTTCTGTGAGTTTGTGAGCGCCGCACCAGAGCACAGCAACACCCTGACTGGTGGAGGGACGATACTCACCTGTAGGAATGCGCTGCGGTGAGCCGCAGAGTGCCTGGAGAGTCCGGAGGATTTGACCACTCGAACCCCCGGGACACTGAGCACCTCGTCCTCGCTGTCGTCTTCCTGCTCGTCCAGCGAGAATGAGCGCAGACCGTCTGTATTCACCGGCTTGGTCTTGATGTGACCGTTGCCGTGGTTACTCTTGCTGCGTTGGGAGGATGAGGATGTGGGAGGGGCTTCGAGCTCCTCCATGAGCCACTCCATCTCCTCCTCACCACCTTCTTCGTCCATGTTGACCTGACGAGTTAAAGGCAAGTCAGACAAAACACTATAATTCATCACGCTGGATTAAACCACTGTCGCATCGTTATCACACTCAAAACACATGAATAGGGGAAGAGGCTGTTATGGTATGTAACATAATCCTTGGTACTACTTCATGATGCAGCCAATGTATTCAAATACATTTCAATTGAACTGAAGAGCTCCAGAAAACCAGATCAATCAGTCAATCAAGTGCCAAGACATTCAGCGTAGGCGATCATTTCTCTCCATCTAATCTGATCGTTTGCTCTCTGAACTGTGACTGTTCCATGTGTAGCCATGATGTCATTTTCATTCTGTCTGCCTTGTATATGCATCGTATATCTTATATGGACTGAAAAAAGCAATGAAGATGTTTTAAAATAACTAAACACAAATTATATGCTATTGAAAAAAAATTAGGAAACGGCAAGCATCATAAGGAAAGAGACCCTGGAATACTTTGTCACAACTACAATGAGAACTGCATCAGATGCAACATCCTTTAAAAGTAAAACATTTAATTAAGGCTGCAATCAGTAGAAACCTGGAAAAGGCAAGAAAATAAATTAATAAAAATACACACACTGGAATTTAAACATACAGCCCTGCTAATACAAGTCTTCCTTCCCTTCTCTGATCTAAGCCCCTCCCACAACACCAGCTTGCTTTTCAGATGTCATAGCAAAAGTCAACATTCATGTTCAGCTTCATGCAGGAATCAAACCCTCTCCTGAATTACAATTCTCTGTTTAACCCATTGAGCCACCAGGTCCTACACCCAATAAGGACTTTGTTGGTCTTTATTCTCTTTCCCCTGATCGATTCGGAAAAGAACTGTGACGGGTTAAACTCTCCTGTCAAAGGATAGACTTTCTAAAGCTTCAAAAGGGAGCCAACAGGAGGCGTGTCGGTCTAGTTTCCTTTCAGATCACTTTAATTACGATATGTAGGGAATTTTTCCCCAATGACAACAAAAAGTACTGCCAATCCAGCTTTAATGTAGCAGGGATGAAATCTGGTGACCCTGAACACACCAAACTCTGAGTGTTTAATTTGAACCCACCTTGGAATATTTATAAGAGACCTGGTTTCCTCTCCTACAACAACCAGCAACTTTCTGCATCACCAACTCCCTGGAAGGACACACACACAAAAAAACATTGAAGAGATGCATTAAAAAAAAAATCTGTAAAAATAAAGTAGTAAAAATCCAGGAAATGATGCTCGAGGTCTCACCTCCTCTCTCTCTTGTGGAGCAACAGCCCCAGCAGACAGACAGTGAGACCCACCAACAGGAGGCTCAGCACCCCACCCACCGCCTGGCTCCGCCGAGACAGAGCTGAAGTGTCAGTGCCGTCATCAGATGCCTTTGTATCAACAGTTCTGCAAGGCAATTCACAGAGAAGACATTTATTTACTGCTGCTATTTGGATAACAAATTCAATTCCAGATGTTTTCTCAGTAGAATTGAGAGTAAAAGTGTTTACTCACGTCAGAACACACACAGCATTTGTGTGCCACACAAACAGATACTGGCATTCATCGGTCTCCAGCATAAACTCTGGGATGCCGACGCCTACTGATGGGTTACAGTGGAACATGATGGTGGATGAAACCATTTTGCTCTTCTCCCGGCCGCACTCTGAGTCAGAGGGCACTATCACATCCAGATTTCCTCCTGATGGAGAAGCAGAGACATTGTTAATATGCTTTTAACACTGAATTCAGTCAGATTGACTCAGTCCAGCACAGCTATGCTAAAATTAGCAGGCAAATGTTAAATGTTACGTGTTGCCATACTGTGTTACATGCTGACTCAAACAACAACATGATCAGTGCATACATATGGGTTAAGTCAGCAGTAATAAAGATGAATTTTGCGAAACATGATTTCAATAACAGGAAAGTTATGTTAGCAACAGCATGTTAAGCCCTGAATAGTTATGATCGTATGGTCATAGGTTAGAGCTTTATGGAAATGGTAAAGCTGAGGGACATTCAGGGATAGTGGAACCTTTAAGACCAATCTGAAACCGATAAACAAGAACTGTTGGTTATTGTGTATTCATGTCACCTTTTTTCCTTCAGTGAAACCTTAACTCAGCCTGTCATCTGTTTGTTTCTCTCATGATCTCTATGCTCACATATGCTGCATTTTAATAGAGATGAATTCCTAATAAAGATATTGGGACACATTTTTCTGTTTCTGTTGTCAGCCAACTGCAGGAGTATGAAATAGCGACATTCACCTCAGAGCCATATCTAAGCCGCTGCTGTGCACCGCTTAAATACTGATCTTAACTGTAACGTTGTCTGACAAACTACGCAGAGTGAAGAAGTATGAAAATTCATTAACCCAATGGCTAATGACGTGCTTGTGTAGAATCCTGTAATGAGCCAACAGCAGTGATGACATTATGTATAGAACAAATGCTGTTAAAAGGATGTTTTAAACCAGTAACTGTGAATGGTCAGTGTGTTTTTAAGCACTGCTTGTGGCTTCTGATGCAACAGTCCTGTAATGCTCTCCAATGTCAGTCCATTATTTTTTATCATCGACTTCTGTTTTCTGTGGCGAGGAAAAAAGCAAAAGAACCAACAACAGCTCAAACACGAACAAGAGCATCCAACATTTGCAGAATGTAGAACTACTGGAAATGTAGGATGCTCAGACTGGCCCCAAGTGAAGACCACAACAGGTAGATGGCCTGAAGTGAAGAACACACCTGAAGCACAACATTTACGAACTCAAAATGCTTGTATCTACACTTGAAAAAAACAAACAAACAAACAAACAAAAAAGTAGGACATTGGATATGCTATATTTTGCTAAGAAAAATGAGCAGAGATTCCTTCACAATGTCACATCTCCTGGCTCCCATACTTCTGGTCTACAACTGTACAAAATTCCTGGTTGCCATGTAAAAATACTTAATGTTTTGTAGACACGAGGTAGTAACAAAATAGAATGGAAGTGGGAGATCATTTAACTCAGCAGTCTTCAACCTTTTTTGCCCCATGGACCGATTCTACGCAAGAATTTTTTCTACAGACCGGTCATTGCGCACATAACAAATAATAATCGTTTTTCTTTTTAAAATTTTCTAAATGAATAAAACTACTTGCTAAATACGTGTTTAGTTTTTCTTCTGTCTGAGTATCGAGTCTCTACTACTTTCCAAAGAAGCTCTCCTGTTTGTTTTTTTATTCATTTCGGCAGTGGTCAGACTGACGGCTTCGTTTAACGGCCGACCATGGAAACTAACAGAGTCAAGTGCGAGAAACAAGCAAATGGAAGTGATGGGAAGACGAGCTAGTCATTAAAAAAAAAAAAAAAAAACACGCTGCAGATAAATCTAAACCAATACAATGTTTTTTATTCTTTCTGTGCGGCCTGGTACCAAATGACTCACGGCCCAGTACCGGTCCACGACCCGGTGGTTGAGGACGGCTGATTCAACTGATTAAAGAATAATGATTAATTCTAAACTTCTAATTTTATATCTTTATAGCTTATGAGTTGCTGCAGAAAGGCGTTGATGTGTATGAAAGACAGGGAGAGTCTGCAGGAGGCAGAAAAAATATAACAATAATAATCTCTGAATTGATTTAGTGTCGTGAGAAATGGAATATTACACTGTGCAATAAATCACCTTTAATGTAGTACTTTGCTTTGTCAGAGGAGCCAATCTTGCGTCTGATGGGTCCGTTGAGCTTGACCTGGCAGATGTTGGCACCAACACAATAGGGCATCGAGGCGTTTGTGAGGCCAGACAACTGGATGTGGTAGATGTAGCGGTCCCCGTTGGAACGTATGTCTCCAGATGCTTGATGGTGGCTGAGAGAGAACAAGTAAAACGCAGTAGTTTGTTTTTTTGAAGTAAACATAATTCATGATTCTGATATTAAGTGTGTTTGTCCTTTACAATACTGAACTATGTGGCCTTTACAGTGTCCTAGGAGCAGAATTAACACACAAGACAGGACAGGTGGAGATTGTGCTTGTGTTACCTAAAGTAGAGTGCTCCCAGACTGAGGCTGGCTCCAGTGTCGGGAACCTGTATCGTCCCATTCACCATCACCACCTCTTGTTGTTTCACCGCACAAGCCGAGCGAGTCTCCCAGCCAATCACAAATTCACATGACGTCTCATCAAAACTGCTCACACAGACACAAACAGACATAAGATACTTTATTAATAGCTGATTATTTTAGATATGTCAGAAAGCCACTTGAGGACTTTATTAAACCAGTCAAGTGAGTTTAAAACCCAAAACAATGCGTGAAAATACAAAAGCTTTTATAGTGAATTTAGACACGTCACTGAGTCATGACTGTGAATAACATTAAGTCTGCTAAGAAATGTTTTGCAATGCGCCTCAAGTGACGCTGAAGAAAGAAATTTTAACTTTAAAGACAAACACTCTGTTCTGTCATTAACTGGAAGTTAGGAACCCTGTAAATCAGTGTTTCTGTAGAGTTTGCTGCATCGTCCAATTATGCATCACATGTAGTGATGAAGGTACTATAAGATAAGATAAGATGAACTTTATTGATCTCACAGTGGAGAAAGTTCACTGTCACAACAGCTCCAAAAAGAAAAAGTGCAAAGTCAGTACAGGAATAATTCAGAAACAGTGCAAAATTGCAAGAATAATAATATAATAATAATAATAATATTCCCACGTAGGTGTAAATGGTGCCATATTCTGCCTTGTTTCATTTCCAAATTCCCACTTGAAATTTTCTCCCTATTGAATATAATAATTCAGCACTACATATTGTCTGTTGTGTAACTGAAAATCTAAAAATCTAAAAGCTGATTTTACTGGAGTGTATGTTACCTGATGAGCGCTGGGTGACCAACTGTGGGGCCACAGCTCAGCTGGATTATTGTCTTGGCCTTCATGTCGTTGCCACAGACAGCATCTCCTGCTGAATAGCTGACAGAGATCTTTCTGTCTGTGAAAGAAGAGAAGTCTTTTGAGGCTGAATGATAAACTTTTGTAATGCACTAAATCAAAACACAGCGTGACAATTACCAGTGACAGAAAAGAAGAGCACACAGAAGGGCTACAATGTTATCAAAGCTAAGAGCAAAACAAAACATATCACATTCATTCTACCAACAGATCTTTCATATTGTCTCTGTTTACCTGGAGGCCTGCACTGTTTTCAGTTGTACTAACAGCTGTAAACTATCCTAGCTATCCTTAGAGAGAATACCTTGTTAGCATTTAAATGCTAAATAATGCACAAATGTTTACACAAATTATTACTTTCCCCAAAAGTCCAACAGGAATCACAGCAAACGTATTTGACTTGTTTGCTTACCACTGTAGCTCATTGTCTGAGTGTAAACCCGGCCCAGGGTCTGGGTCTTTCCTGCTGTGCGTCGGCACACAGTTGCTCCTTCTGGACAGCCAGTTAGTCCACCGTGGATACCTTGGCACAGGTTGATGAAATACCTGAAGTCATAAACACAGAACAGAGAAAAAGTGTCATTTGTAACGATTCAGGAGGATGACTGCATGCTTTTAGAAATATGTCTCCTTTATTACTACTTCTACTACATTGTATGTTAGTGTGGCGAAGCAGACACGCTAGTGCTGATAAAAATTCCTGACACATTAACTACATTCTGTCCTGTATTTTAGGCATTCTTGTATTTTACAGCATATTTTTCTGTGACACTTTGGGTTGCTTTCTAATACACTTCAGTATCAACTGTATGAATGGTACATTATCTGGCATATTTCAGGTGTGTGTCTACCTTGTAAAAATTGCTAAATTACACATCTTTTGAAAATGTGCACAGATGGTCCTCTTGCTGTCAATAAATGACAACCATCAGTCCTCTTGATTTTATAGAGTTCATCAAGTAAAATATCTATTTAAACATATCCTATAACACCACAAACATTTTTTTTTCTTTCTTTCTTTGACTAAACATCAATCAAGAACACAAGATCACATAAATATCTATGAAAATAATCCTAAGCATTAAAAAGGGGAATGAAAACAGCCCCAATCTAACACTAAACCCAGACTTACGCATCTCCTTTGTGGCTGAACTTCCACGGCTCAGTGAGGGAGGACAGGGCTCGGAGGTCGAACGTCTGATGCTGGCTCACCAGCTTACACTCCATCTTCCTCGGAGGACAAACAGCACTGGTGCGCCACTGGAAAGTGGCCGAACAACCTGCCGTCTCTGAGAGCAGCTGTGGGGAACCACGGCCCGCGGACTGGTCGCAGGTAAACAATATAGAGGACTGACGCGTACCAGTGGCTGAAAGGGACAATTAAAAAAAAAAAAGACACACAAAAAAACAGTACACATTACGAGATAGTTTTCATGGGAAAGACGAGTAATGGACAAAGGGAATAAAATGCAATCCAGCAAAAATAGAAAACTGTCATAAGAAATACATGCCTGCATTCCTGCAGAGGAAGTAACAATCTTTTAATTTCACTTTTTTTCTATAATGTACAAATGTCACAGTTTATTAGATTAAATTTTTTTTTTTGACAAATCCCTGAACGCACCCTCAAAAAACAGTCCTTCCTCTCAACTGCAGTATCACACAACAACCTTGCATCATTCAACATGAAGAAAATTTGAAGAAAACATGGCATTCACAAATAAATAGAAACCAATGGCTGCCCTGATAAGATGGGGAACATTATAAAAAAAAAAAAATCTACTTTTCCTAAGTGCATCTAAGTTCAACAGCAGTTAGAAATATTTTGCCTACTGTAAAAGCAAAAATGAGACTTTCTTTATCATAAATAGCTTTTCATCTGCAGCCTCACAGACAGAAAAGAGTGATATTGCAGAACATTAGTTTTCAATTGAAACTGTAATCTGTGTTGTTCTTTGGCACACAATTAGTGCAGGTTATTCTATTTTATTTTCATAAACAACGGTAGTTCTATCTTCTTAGTCAAGAGCAGTGGTTCCCAGCATGGGGGGCTTGAACCATCCAATAGATTTTAGGATTAATCTAAGGGGCTGTGAAATACCTAAAAAAAAAAAAAAAACTGCTGCAGAAAATTACATTTATGTTATCTGTCCTTCTTCAATTTTGAAATTATGTGTGAAATCCTTGAGTTTTACTTTCTCAGGACTCTTGTAACTACTGCCAGGGAAAATATTTGAAGGGAACATCATTTTATGAACCTGCAGTATTCAGTATGTGACAAAGGGTAGCAAATTGGAATTCTTTCACTTTTAAGGGCCACAAGACAAAAAGGATGGGAAACAGGGACCTAGAGTATATGTTTAGTATATGAGATGACTTGTTGTTGTAAATATGCGCTATACAAATAAAATTGAATTGAATTTATGAGAACTGAGGTCCATTAAAAAATAAAACACAGATAGGTTGGGAGGTTTACTTTCCTGTCTACCTGCTCTCCATATTACAGCTTTAGTCTACGTCTGTGATCAAAAGCAAACCTGTAACATTGACTTTTCGAATTATGGACAATAGCTGTGATGTGATTCTAAGTGACTAGACGCCACTTGTTCACAAGCTGTCACCTGTACTGCAGAATCCCCACTTTCTGTCCGTGTCATAGTTGCCTGTGGTGGCACACCACATTCTGCCATCTGTCCTTCCATCTTTGGTGCACTCTGTGTATGACTTCTTCATGAGAATGAATGGGAACACACACACCTCACCATCAGCGGTCACTAGAACACACAAATGCATGGACCATTTCTTGAATTGCTTTCCAAAACACATGATCAATCATTAAACTGAACTGTGACATTCATCCTAATAGGTCTTGATTAGGAGGACCAATTTACCTGTTTACAAGCTGCACTTCTTCATGTTTGGTCTTAAAGACCAGTTTCTCTGCTAACAGTACAAGGCAATGTTTGTAGACAGTTTTAAAAGCTGAAGGTAACCAGAGCTATTCAAGTACAAAGTCCACTCTGTTTTAAAGTCAAAGAATTTTTACTTTAGCCACAAAATTGTCCTTGTACTTTCTGTAATTTGTGGAGATGTCATCTTGGATTTTAGGACTTTATTCTTCAGTTTTAAGTTGTATGTCTTGTGTTTTGTCTTTTACCAATTGATGAACATGTTGTACAAAAGCATTTTGAATTATTACCATAATAACTTGTTGTCCTTTGGATTTTTTCTACATCTGCAATCCATGAATCAGTCATATCCTCTGATAATGTTATCACAAAGCTTCGTCTGAAGCCCGGGGGAAGTACAGCAAACTTACCTGGTGGGCAGGGATCTCCTCCACCATACTGCATCAGCACAGCCTGCTCTTCATGTTTAAAGACCATCGTCATGGCCTTGCTGATGCCAAATGATGAAGCCGTCTTGTCTGAGCCAGACACTTGGCAAACTGCACTCTGCTTACAGGCCGATTCTGCTACTGAGCCACAGACGTTGATGTGATACACACTAGAGCTCCCGTTTACCTAGCATACAACAGAAAAAACACCTGAATAACTACATTTTGATGTTGTCCCTGGGTGACTTACACCTTGAAAACCAAAAGAACACAGCTTTGGTAAAATGTAGCACAAATTAAAGTAAAGTAAAATAGATTCTGGTTGAAAGGTGTTCAAAGTCACCGGGAGGTAATCCTGGTGGACTGAAACTGAAGCCCATGGAGCTCACCTGGACTTCACCCACGAGGGTCGACAGGTTAAAGGTGAACTGAAGCTGAGAGTCAGTGAGCTGGCAACCGCTGGTGTGAGAATCATCTGAACAGACGAGTGGAGTCGCCCACTCAAACAAATAGACACATTTCTGCCGCCTCAGCATTTGTGGAGAGCCCTGGATATAGACATAAAGACAACTGCTTGGTTATAAAATGAAACAGGGTAGTATAAGTCCTCACAGAAGCAACGATGCATGTGTAAATATCCTTATCAGAGAGGGCTGACTGACCAGCTCCAGGCCTCTCTGGCAGGTGAAGATGATGGTTGAAGTGTAGTTCTGTGAAGGGTCAGCTGCACACTTGGTGGAGCTGTGGTAGGTGATGGACACTTCTCCTGTTTCATTGTTGAGCTCTGGACCGCTGGTGGTCCGCCCGATATCCTTTAACAGAGACAACAAGACAGAATTTACAGGGAAGAAAGAATGAATGACGGAAATATGTCTGCAAAACAGACATATTACGATATTCAACCTCAGTTTTGTCCCCATTATTAGCCTCCAATTCAGAAGAGCAACATGGTCACCGGCTACTCACTGAAAAATAAACACTCTCAGTCACAACTGTTCTGACAGTGTTCAGTACATTAAACTCTACACAGTAGTGCTCAGTTTAAGAATTTAAAATCACAAAGGGAATCTAGAAAAGCATGAACTTACCTTCATTTCATATTTAAATTGCCGTGTTAGAATCACAAAAGCTGACTTTATGCAATAAAGGCAATATGATACACAAATTACAGCCCAAATGTCATGAATATATAAACAAGTAAACAGAAAATCATTATGGCGTGTTGTATCTGCCATTATCTTTGTGAACTTGTTTTAAGTTTTTAGTGTAACAATTTAAATCTGCAATAATTTTTGGCCATTTGGAGAAAGCAGACACTGGATGATTTCATTATTTTATTACGGCAAATGTGCACCTACTAGTGGTCACAAAAACATGCGTAACACAAGTCCTGCTGGTAATAGCGCAGGGTCACGTGGTCTCCTTATGACAGTAACGGCCTACAAATGTTGCATGCCTGTGATCGTAACGCGCTACGCACATGCACAACAAAGAGATTTTGATTTTGTCACAAAATACGTTTGGGTATTAGGTAAGTATCTGGGGTGTCCTCAAACCATACATGGAAATGTAACTATACAAAGATGTAAACCAAAAACCAGTGCCCTTGTAAGGCAGGTCAAAGCAAGTAGTTTATCTACCTTCTGTGACAACAGTGTAAAGGAGAACATTTGTCAGTGTGTCTCACCACAGGCGGTCCATTATCAGGATCCATACAGACAGCAGCTCCAGCCGGGCAGGTGACCCCAGGGATGGGGTTCAAAGGCTGACAGATGTTGATATAAAAGTCTGGAGAATCATCACTTTGCTCCACTGCTTCATCTGAAAAGCAAAAATGGCGGAATGGGAGAATCCCATGAATTCTGGACATGACCGTAAATTGTCTTTGATTTGCTCTCCTGTTAGTCCGACATAACAAGACATTTAGAAGTGCAGCCTCACTGACCTGTTGCTGTGTAGTATCCACTGACATGGATCAGAGGAGTCAGGTCTATTAAAGCTGACTTACTGTGGACTGAACATGTTACCTGAAAAATAAAATGAAAAGAAGAAAAGAAACATCAGTGGAACATTGTTGTAGAGGCCTCAACTAGTCATGACACATTGAATAGTAAGGATTATTAGGTTTCAGGAATTCATCCATTTTTATACTGCAATATCATCATTCCTTTATTTAATACAACATGGCTGTAGAAAGCTTTCCTCTTTTGATCTACTAAATGCTGCAGAACTTTAAGAATGATTTTTGAACGATTGAGTGATTTAGACACAATCCCACTTCTTTACTGTACCAAAAAAAATATAATCCTACATTCCATCCATTTCTTGATGATCTTTGAAAACTCTGATAGTAGTTCATCTGCTCACTTCCCTTAATCGAAATTCCACTTGCTCTGTGAAATAGCCAATTTAGAGCTAATTTGTGACGGAATGCAAGATGTTTTCCACTTTAATCTGTGGAAATAACTTCTTCATATTAAAGCGCTTCTTTACAGTATCCTATAATTATTCAGTCTTGCAAAAAGTCGATATTACCACAGAAAGACATAATAATAATTTCTGTTGCGCTGCATCTTTTCTGTCTACACAGTTTTCTGCATTACTTATGAGGCAGCTATCTAGTTATGGTAAACTGCTAGTTATGTAGCTACTTATTTCACAGCACACACATACAAACACATGCTAGGATCAGTTGTAAGTATGTATTTTATAGCTAAACATACATTTACAACACATTTTCCTTCATCTAATTGTTGGATGGGTCAAATTTGTCTTGACATAAATTTCCGAAAATGTGACTCAAAAGCAATAGCACCATACTTACAGGCTGTTCACAGACCAGGGGTGTGTGGAAAGAGAAGAAATGTGTGCAAGTTTCAGCGCTTGAGTCAATGAGGACTGGCTCTGGGGGGGCTGAGCCCATGTTAGGTGGTCTGTACAAAGACAAAGGCAAAACTCAGAACACAACTTAAAGATCCTATTTGAGTTTTAACATGACAAACACAATACTTTGCAACAAGACCGTCATATTGTACATTTCAAGTAGCTGACAACTAAAGCAATTGCAGAAACATGTTTTTTTTCTGGGAAAAATACATTTAAAACAACTATTTTGCCCACCGAGCTCCAAAAAAACTACTTCAAGAATCCTGTATGTGTCACTTGCTGAATGCCTATGATAAGAGTTCAATGACGATGTTTTAATTAACAAGTGAGAACATAAAATGCAGGTTCTGTTGCTGTCCGGTAAAAGAAATGTATCTATGTATAACTGAATCAGTGATGCTGAATATGTATCGACCTCAAATCCAAACTGAAGATTTCAACAGCTGCTAAAAAAACACGACTTGAACAAAGAATAAATAAATACATTAAGGTCAGTATTTTTCAGCATATTTAAAGGTCCCCTTCAGTCATATTTATAAATACTTAAAACTACTGTGCTTTAAATAATAAAATGTGCCTCACAATCGTTTCAGTCACACCTGATCAACTCTTGACATTGGGTTGCTTATCTCCCTGAAGATAAAAGACCCTTCTTTTAAACTGGAAAGAGTGTAAACTAGCCGGCTTCGCATAGGACTCGTGGTTTTAGGAATGCTTGGGCTACCTTAATAGTGAATAAGAGGCCTGCCTATACTTTTCATTCATTCACAACCTAAATATTTAATTTTGATGAACAAAGAGGTTTTTAAATCAATGTCACAAGAAGGACTTTAAAATATAAGCGAAGCATATTTAGAATAGAGGGGGGGCCTTTAAGATTTTAGTAGTCTTCAGTAATACAGGTGTGGTTCTACCTTCCTTAAAGAAAACAGGAACCTTTAGAATCTATATACCATCGTCAATTTCCATTTCCATTGGGCAGCTTTGGCTTAGTTGGTAGAACTGGCTAAAGAAAATGCAATGAAAACAATAAATAAATGAAGGCGAAAATCAGAGCATCGGTAGTACCTGCAGATGAAATGGATGATTGTGTTGTGTTTGAGGCTGGGGTTTGCTGGGCAGGGACTTCCTCCTTCATACGAAAGCTCCAGAACGTGATCCTTATACGAGAGTTTCTTGCTCACCAGACCGCCGCTGACTGCAGTATTGGTATCCTTAATACACACAGCTACAACACACATGCATAGAGACATTTTAGAATGCTTAATATTTTACTGTTCGAATGCAGTTTGCAAATACATTTTATTCAGGCAGCTGAATATCCAGTGACTACTCAAAGTTAGCTTAGTGACGTTTGGTTGAAGTTTAGATCATCAGTCAATGAGCAAGTGATCGGATCTGACTTCAGCCATGAAGTCAATGTTTATTATTCAATGAAAAGTGATTTTCAGCATTGCAGAGTACGTTGATGTTGAGCATTTTAGTCATGACCTACACCATGCATTTTCTAACTGTCTATCAGTGAGTATTTGATGCTGAATAAATATTTCCAAACATTCCCATAATTATAACTACAAATTGAGACCGACTGTGTAGCCTTGTACACCCTGGTGAAAGAGCAGTCAATGATTTGAGGACTACTGGAATTTCAGGTCTCTCATTACATTTCTTTGGGCGCTCTGTGCTGCAGGCGACAGTCATGACGCATATCCTCATGCTTCATAAACCATCCACATATGTCAGCAAGACTAAACAGTAACCCGAGGAGAACTGAAGGAATGAATCCCTGATCTTATCTGAAGTGGATCCAAGATAAACCAGTGTTTTCTTTTACCTGGAAAAAATCTTATCTGTAGTTGAAGTTAAAATGAACAAAGACGAGAAGAAACTATGATTGGATAAACTGCAGGTGAAAGCCTCTCTTGTTCTGTCCAGCGTTATTTATTACCTCAACAGTCATATTTTTTCTCCAGCATTCTTTCTCTAAGTTAACTGCTGTCACACAGCAAACATCGTATTCAGACTATTTTATATCCTCTATAAGAAACAAAATCTCCCAATGCATGCAGCAATATGTTTTCCCTTTACTACTAGGCCTGTTGTCATTATTACATAATGGACTGATTGCAGTTATTGAAGCTTCAATCATTTACCATAATCATTAAAATAGTTTCCATTTAGCTGTATAAAAAGCAGCTGGATAACACTGACAGAAATTACATATTTTAACCACTATTTCCACATCATTTTCCACCATCTGCTCTCCCTTTTCCTCCTACAGTTTACTGGTACAAACTGTTTATCGAGGCGCCTAACTTCTAATATCGCTTGCCGTTAACATCACAAATTTAGTTGCAAAGTCCAACATCACAGCACCACTGGTTTTAGGCCAACTGAAACAAACAGAATCCAATAACTTGGACGAAGCAATTTGTTGGCTGTGCAGCAAAAATAAGTTGAGGTTAGGCGCCGATACCAGTAATCTAAAACTAAAAATGGCATAAAATTAACAGAAAAAGACAAATTGTTATTTGTAAGACAATTAATGATCAACTATAATTTCGAGATCCCATAGACAATCAGCTAAGCTGAAAGCACAGAGAAGAGTTTGTATAATGATGTCATATAATTTGCAGTTCTTTCAGGTAAATTCTAACATGGTGGCATATTTTGGAATCAAAAGCAGTGTAGTTCTGACTGGTTAAAAGCTGATCTGATTGCCTGTGAAGTGATTTTTGTCAACGCACTTTGATGACACTCATGACGTAACAAAGTGACCTTTAAGCCTTTGAGTGACTACAGACAAATGATCTGCTAGCTTTTTAAGTCTACAGGATACAACACAGACAGCAGAGTCACATTTGTGCACATTTTTTTGTTCCAGACTGATGCACATATTTTCCAATTCATGCCAAAAAACACATGCAAGTATGAATTCACCTTAGGCTGTTTGAGAGGAGAATTTAGGTGGTGTAAGTCAGTTATGTGGTATAGATTCTCCAAGTCGGTGACTAATTAGTAACACACAAATTGGATGGATGTACATACCGGTTCCAGGACTGCATCCTGCGTTAGTCACAGTTCCACAGATGTTCATGCGGAACATCTTCCTGTATTGCTGATGATCGTACACAGTGTAACCCCCTTCCTTCATCAGGGAGTTCAGGTCAAACAAATGACCTAGGAGACAAAAGTTCAACATGACACACCTTTGAATATCCAACTTTATACAAATATGACTGTTCCTGTTTTTATGTGTATTTTTCTACTCTGTTACCACAATTACTGAGAAACGGTGTTCATCAAAAGGAAGAAGGCCTGTTTATAAAGCTACATACATTTCAACCACAGCATTTTCAATTTGTTGTGTAACCAAGAAGTTCTATTATTATTGTCTTTATTATTATATTGTTGTCTTATTATGTAATTTTGTAACAATAACAGTGCACACAGTAAATACAGAATATTTACAAGGCGCTCTATGTTTCTGTTATTCTGCGCTGTTAATGTATAGGGATGACTGGGGACAGAGCAGATGTTTGTGACTGACCTGTAGCAGGGTTGGTGACAGTGCAGTTGTCGTGTTGGGTGCCTTGTAGAGGACAGGCAGCAGCTGTTGACCACAGGAAGGTGTATACACAGTCCTCGATCTCAGAGATCAGAGTAGGCCGAGAATCCTGGGTGAGAGACAGAAGTGCACATATCTTTTAAACATCTCTCCTTACTATTATGTTGGTTTGGTGCACTCAGCAGAACACCATATACAGTGTGAAAACCTAAGGGTCATCTTTAGCACTGGGAGGGGCCACAAACTTTGGTTCATATACACCAATTACAGTAATATAGTTTCTGGAACTACGGAATCAAAGGAACTAGACAAGGAATGTGTGAAGGAAGAGCATCTTTAGTCATTCAATTTTGTGCCTACATTGCATCTTACGAACCTTAAAGAAATTAGGCAAATTGGACTCATAACTGATTAATGGTGGCAGTGCTTGAAATGCAGTTTCAACATATGATAAAATACCGAGTGTTTATGGTGATGTTTGCAGCATTAAAGAAAAAATTAAATTAGAAAATGTAGAAGAAGGCTATGACTAAAAAAAAATCCATAGCTAAGTTACTCTGGTTTCTTTGTTTAAAACTCCGGTTTAGTTTCTCGAAAGGCTTTCCTTAAGGTTCCTGTCGCGGAAACAATTTATATGAACAGTTCATTTTGGCTTAAGGCCAGGCAGGCAGCTCATGTTTTGCAGTGTAAACCTAATCAAATAACAATGTTATGCAGTTTTGGGACTAAATACAAATCTAAAAACATCCTGATGTGTGTTTTGTTGACCATGAAGAAAATTATGTTCCTGATTTAAAAAGTGTGAGACAGGGACGAACACTAAATGCCAAACTAATGTGATTACTGTCAAATGCAGCAGAATTACATCTTTGTCCAGTGAAGAAGAATCTCTTCAGATGTGTTAGGTTTGTCATTCGTAGAACGTATTTCTCACCACTTTGTCTTTGTCACACTTGAAGCGGATGATGGTGCTCCTTTGTCGGCTTCCATCTGGACAAACCTGGCCGTTGGTGTACTGCAGCTTCAGGACATTTCTGTCCCATGTAGGACTGGACTGCACCTCCCCCAGACTCACATACTCATCTCCATCCTTCATACAGGACGCTGCACTGGATGGACACTTCCATGGATCTATTGCAAAATGAGCAGAGGGTCAGCTTTGGATTTTTTTTAAAATTTATATCAGAAAATCTATATTTAGGACAGAATTATATTTGGTGAACAAACCAAAGCTAAATGTATTACTGTATTCTTTACTAAAACAAACAAACTGACCTTTCGGCTGCACCAATGACCTGCAGACATTGATGTAAAATTGTTTGTTCGTTCCCTCGGTAGACAACTCCCAGTTCTTCGAATCCATAGCCAGAGAGGAGAGGTCATAGGAGTTGCCCTGACCATCACTGAGGACAGAAAAGAGAAACTGGGTGAAAATTCTGCATATGTGTTCTATGGCCTTGAGTGGTTAAATATCTTTGCTCCTGTTATTCCTTTCTCCAGCAGACTGATCCTTGAAAACGACCCTATAAGATACTGCGTGTCACACTCAAGGGAAAAAAAAACACATAATCGCAAGAAAGAAAGAAAGAAATCTGGTGGGCTCAAGTTTCAATAAAGGTATCCAGAAATACAAAAAAGTAAAATAAAATGTTGAATTAATTCATTAAGTAAAGATGGGACAGTTGCTGTCACCTATTAAAGAAACAGCATGTGCATAGCTAAAATAAATTAAAACATAGCACAACTCACATTTCTCACAGTTTCACAGCACCCTCTGAATAGAGTATAAGATAAGTTGACACAAAGGGGAGAACTATACTGACGAGGCTGTTTACCGGCCTTGTGATATAATTTGTGGCTGTTGCTGTGAATAAATCAGATGATGACCAATAACCTGAAAATGGCATTTAATCAATCCGATTAATCGGCCAACCAATTAATCAGTCCAATATTACTAATAACCTGTTTTTTTGTTCTGTTACTTGTGCTGTTGCTCTTTCTTACAATGGTGTTGCTAAGTATGTTTATTCATCTAAGTAATAAATATTAACCGACAAATGGAATGCTAACTTACCAATTCAAATCAGTTATGTAACATCAAGCTAAATGTGTGTGAAGTTGAGAACTGCAGTGTACAAGTACACTGAAAGGAAAAGAGTTTAAGGAACTGAGAAACACGTGGATGTAAAGTGAGAATATAAATAGATGAAAAAAAAAAAAAAAAGAGAACAGGCCTGAGGAGGGTGACACATGAGGTGGCAGAGGATGCTTACTTGTATGAGCAGCTGGTGGTTTTGACTGGGACGCAGGCCAGCGCAGTGGGCCAGCTGAACAGGTAGGTGCAGTCTGGAGTCTCTTTAAGAAACTTGGGTTCTCCCTGAACAAGTGAAATAACAAAACACAGAGAAAGTCACAATCACTGAGGAGCTGAGATGCATCAATATCAGATGGATACTGATACAGGCATTGTTAGCCTGGCTCGCTCCAAAGTTTTAAAAAATGCCCTCCAACGTCTCCTACAGCTGTCTTGTTTACTTGTTAGTCACCAACAATCATCACCAACTGTTTCATTGTGCAAACTCTACTGGAACAATTTTTTTTCCTCGCAGAAATTTGGATCTGCTATTATGTTTTGTTTTTTTTTAATGTACAACCACAAACAAAGTAACCACTCGAGATAAGATGGGGTCACATTCATTCAGCTTTGAAACACTATAGGACATGTGTCTGGAGAAAGATCACTGATACTTAGATACATGTGTATGGGAAATCGATTATTTTTCAGCACTCACACAGAACGAACAGTCGCACACTCCATCTTTATGTAAAAACAAACTACAAAACCACTTGTCAGCACGTTGCCCCATGCAAATATCCTTCTAGGTCTAAGTCACAATGAACCTCGCCAGAAATGTATAGCATGGTAGTCATGACCTATTATACCCATTCATTTTCTGCCTTTGTGTGCACATGTGAAACTCACAGGATGCTCGTTCAGGTCGCAGGAGAAGTAGATGGCTGTGGATCTTTGGTAAATTTTGTGGCAGGTGTCTCCATTGGTGTAGTTCAGGATGATCTGGTCTCCCACATAACTCAGGTTCTGGTTTGACATTCCTGCATACATAGAGAGATATGAAAACACACAGTAACCAGAAAGTCAAAGGATAATGACACCAATTCTACAGCAGATCAGAATATTCGTCTGTTTTTGGATGTATTTTGCATCTGCATACCTGCAATCTTGTGGCTATCTCCATCCACCTGGCAGGAGGAGACAGACTCTATGTCTGCATGGGTGCAAACGTCTTTCTGGAGCGCACTGCAGACTGACAGGTGGTAGGTGTATTTCTCATTCTTGACGGGGTAATCCCTGCCCTTCAGAGAGTTCAGGTTGAACTCATAGCCACTCTTTGGGTCACGAACCTGACAGTCATGACCTGGGACGAAGAGAGATCTATTAAAACTTATTATGGCCTCTGATGCAGTTCAATTACTTACGCATTTCTTGGACATTTCCATGGCAGCTGTTGTGTAAATATATCCCAAATTTCAATTATGTGGTTATATTCTCAGCCAAAATTACCTGACAGCAGCAGTCTTAACCTTAAAATACTTCTCTCCACTCTGTCACATGAACATGTGTTTACCTTGGGACTTCCTGATAGGACAGGCCTCCGATGTCCTCCAGATGAAGACATATTCACACCCATCTTTACGGTCGAACATGGGAGAGCCCTAGAGGTAAGCAAACACACAATTATTATATCAACATTATCATTACAGGACAACTCCATGTGGTGCCCATTTACAATTAACAAAATAAGAGCATGACTACAATGAGACTCACTTGCAAAAACACCCTTGTTAAATATGAGACAATGCATTATAATGGGTAACATTTCCACTTTTTTATTATCTGGCAATGTCAGAAATTGAAAAAAACAGATTGCTCTTTCATGTTTGTGCCATTAAGCAACCAAGTTTTCTGTTTTACATTACCAAATTCCAGACAAGGCAATACGGTAAATTTTACAGAAAATGAAAGAAGACCATTGCCAGCACCACTCGGAGACATCTTTGTGATCGTCATGACTACGGATGGATACCAAAACCTAGTATCTAATGAGCTCCAAGGTAAAATTAAAAGCCAGAGATCAATAAACTTAAATGTTATCGGTTCTGATACTGGTACTGGATATAATAGGACAATAGCTCTCTTATCTATTGTTGCTACATAAAAGTCATCTTACACATTTTACCTAACCAGCTCCGGTTCTAATTCTTCTATTGTGCATTTTCTGACAAAGATCTCTCTGTCAGAGTCCATCACATACAGGTGGGAAAATTTTGAACCACGTGCCTCATAATTCATCTCGTGTTAACCCAAACGTGCTACATACTCGTAGACTAGCAGCCCAGAGGCCATCCACAAATTAACTCAATTATATGGACATGGTTAATGAATAAAAGTAACCATTAGCTAGCTGTATTTATGACTGTGTACATGAATTCAATCTAAAAATGGGCAGATCATCATATGAACTGTCATGCATTAGCCCTCAGAGCAGGGAGGAATTATTGATTTAAAAGCTGCAGATAAAGTCTCTTTCCTGTATTTTCGTCACTCTTTCTCTCACTAAATGACGGTGTTGGCAGTGGGTAAAGTGTTCTGTTTTGTCAATAAGACTGCACAGTAAAAATGCTGTTCAAAAAAAAGTCCAGCATTAATTATTAACAGCCAATTTGAAAAAAAGACAATGTTAATTCTAGTCTTAATTTGCTTTTTTCTTTTTAGAAACTACCACAAAGGACCATTAAGAGTGCCTGTGAAGTATCGAAACAATAAGCAGCATCAGTAAGAGTGGTGGTACCTTTAAAAGCTATACTCATACCCATCCCTATTCGTGACCTGGGAGCTGTAATGATACTCACTGGGTTGTCGTCACACTGGAAGATGATGCGTGTTGAGAAGTGGGATGAAGAATCACACTGATCTCCATTTTGGTACACGATGCTGACGGAACCGTCTTCTGCCACCTTGGGGCTAGACTGGACGTATCCCAGGTTGTAACTTTTCCCATCTATCATACCACAAGCACCCAAGGGACCCACTGCAGAAAGGACACAGAGTTCAATTCTGATAACTTCTTGCTTTTTTTCTGTATTGGTCCTTATTTTAGGAACCTGGTTACGAAAAAATAGAAACTATTATACATTCAAGCCCTAATTTTCTAATCATATTGCTACACATCACTTGATGGTACATGAATGCTAAGCCTGATTTAAAATGATTAAACTGATGATCAGTTAGCAGTAAACCGTTTCACAGTTATGCTTTAGATCAGCTATAATCCAATATATGTGTATATGGCTGCAACTATCGATGAAACTGCTTATTATGGACCAGCATAAAGTTGGCATTTTTGCAAAATAAGAACTAATAAACAAACCAAATGAACAAAATCCTTGGTGATCATTTCATTTTTGTTCACCTGATTAACTAACTCAGCTGATATTTGTTAGTTTTGTTAATAATGCCTGGATTCAGTAACCTAAAAACAAAAACATTGTCAAATACATATAATACGTTTACTTTAGATTTATAAAGTGGAGTAATGTAATGAATTTCTTCCCAATCTGTAATAAGCTGGTATCAGGAGTTATATTTCTGTTATGCAAGCAAGATAAGTCCAAACTCTTACTCCCTCCATGTTTATTATCCTATATTTTGATTTTATCACATTATCTAATTATTTTAACACCATGTGCCAATCTAAACCTCTCATTTCCTGACCTGGACACTCCTTCAGGGTTGGGAGGGGTTTGCAGACATTGATGTAAAATCTGCGTGATGCGGCCCTGTCTGTGTCTATGGGGATCCAAGGGCTGTCTTCTCCATTCCGGATCAGGTGACTCAGGTCATACTCGTTGCCATGGGGATCTAAAGGTAAAAGAAAAGGTATATTTACAAACACATATGCAAACTGAGGGGTGTATATGGCAAGCTGTTTTAACCTTTAACAGCCAAGTTTGACTACAGAATTAAAATTACAAATAACGTCTTTGTAACTGGTCTCAGTTACACTGCAACTAGTCAGAATACTAGTCACAGTAGCTGCAGATGTCTGAGATGTCATTCTGACCCTACAATTCTACCATTTCATTTAATGATTCAGATACACACAACGTCCTTCTTTTATTGTTATAGTGCTTACTGATATGTGGGAACCACAATTAATTATATCAGGTAGCAGGCACTCAAACCTAAATGACAAATGACTGACTAAAAAATTGTAAGAAATCTAAAGAAGCTACCATAAATTCCAGACTATAAGCCGCTACTTCCTTCACACGCTTTGAACACTGCGGCTTAAACAATGATGTGGCTAATTTAGGGATTTTCGAGATGAAAGTGACATTGAGAGCGACAACGAAAGAGAGTCTGAGGAAGTGTGTGACGAAGTAATTCTGAGGCTGTTCAATTCCGACACTGAAGAAGACGACTTTAGTGGTTTTTAGTGCGGAGGAGGAAGATGAAGATAGCGATCAATGACTTTTCCTGGTACGGTACTGTACTTTTTTATTTTTTTAACCAGCCATGTTACAGGCATTGTTTGGGAAAAAGCAAGCATTTACGATACGTATTTGTGTAAATTACCGGTTCATATTTAATTAAAAGTTACAAAAATCTTTCTGTGTAAATATCTCATGTTAGAACGTGGACAAGTGCAGCCTTTGTATGTACAACTCTTTTTATTTTTTTTATTTTTAAAGTTAGTGGGTGCGCTTGTATTCAGGTGGGCCCAATAGTCTGGAATTTATGGTAATCAATACTGAAAGTAATTGAACTATTGTACTTGATCACAGTGTGTGAGTGTGTTGGTGTGTGTCCATACCAGTGATCCTGCAGTTGACTGGAGCAGGCATGCAGGCCAGGGCAGTGGAGAACTCAAAGAGGATGTCATGGACCACATGGTCAGCGAATGTATTCAGGTCTTCCTGCACCAGTTTTAATGAGCCAGGGTGGGAGTTGGGATCACACACGAAGTTAATGGTGAAGGTGTCCCGAGTTGCTGATGAAGAAAGAAAATATTAATGGAATGATTAAATAAAGTGCTGATGAAAGAACATTTTTAGTCCTCTAAAGTCAAAATCACATAAAAAATTCATGTATATCTAACTGTGCCTTGTATTTAATTTGTGTACCTTTTGGTTAAAATAGTTTTTACCCAAAATGGGAAATTCAGTTTTTTATTTGTTTTTCTGCAGTGCATTCAAAAGGACATCACAGAGGTTGATGTGTCAATGTAACACTGAATTCACCTACTTGAATCTTAGAAGCTGTTTCTAATTATGTTTAAGTCCCAAATGAAATTATATACAGAATTAAACTTTTTTTAATCCACAAAAAGTGACAACCAAATTTTATTTTGACATTAATGTTTGCTTTGTGTAATTTTTGACTACACACTAAAGTATGTCTTTCTGCGCCCACTTAACACGACACGTCGATATAGGCAGCATGATACAACAGTGAGTTTTCAACATTACAATACATAACAGCACATTTATCTATGATACAGCAAAAACTCTGCATAAGTGAAGAAGAAAATATAGCCACTAAATAGCAGACATTATGTATTTATTCACTTTATTGTCAGTGTGTGTATTATCATCACACTTAAACAATATAAATAATGTGTCAGTTCAAATAATTAGCTCTTTAAATTGCTCTCTCCTGCTCCTTCTTCACCACTAGTTAGTTAACGTCTGTTTACTTGATCCTCATTAGTTTGAAAGGAGCTACTATAAAAATTATTTTGGTAGAGGAATACATTTAGAGTGCCCATATGTTTAATTCAAAATTAAATATTTGGTGCTGGTGTGTTGCAAGAGGAAGTAATGCAAGCTACTGCTCCACCCCTACACATGACTACATTTTGTTTTAAGTGAATATGATGGGACACATGGAGGAGGTTATTACATTCAGGTCTGTAAACAGTATGTTTCTAAATACTACACTATGCTTGAAGAGCTATATTGATTAATAATGTCAAAGGGACATACTATTTTTATGGTTTCCACCCTGTAATTCCATAAACTTGCTGACGTTCATCAGCATCATGATGGCAGCACCAAAATGGATCATTTCCGAATGCTAATGCTTACAACCGAAACTGAACAATCTGAATTCCTGTCATTTTAAAACAAATGTTTGTTGTGTTTTTGATACCTGTAGGACCGTCTAGGGGTCCCTTATATATTAGTTGGAGGTCTCCATCAGTGGAGTACTGTAGGGTCTTCTCCACCCCGACCGGGCTTACGGGACGTCCATTCTCCAGCTCACAGCCGGCCATATCCGTTCCACATTCTGCTACATCTGAGCAGATATTCACCTGCAGGAAGAAGGGATTGTACTTCTGGTTAGTGAGTGTGTGCAGTGCTTCCCTTTAATGTTACAGCAAAGATCATCAAATATTATCCTTAATCTCAGACTACCAGTGAACAAATTGTGTATCAAAGGCGTCCACAATCTACTCAAGTGCCCCACATCTGATCTAAAGACTAAAGCCCTCAAACAAACAAACAACAATCTTCAGCAAAGTGGAATTACCTGCAGGATTATACTGCTACATTGAAGTGTTAAGTGTTAGTTGTTTAAAGGTAAATTCATCGTTTTAGAGCTTTAAAGCTTAGCCCATTTCTGTCTGAAAGTTAATTACCTGTTTTAATAACCTGTCAATTGTTTTGTTCTTTTTAAGGTCCCAACTTCTCAAATGTAAATTCCTAATGCTTTTCCTCGTCTTTCATTATGGTAAACTCAATAACATATATTTCCACTGTGCAATTAAAACTACAAAGGGGAATCTTTCCCTATTTCCTGCACATTTTCACTCACTATAAGCTAAGTTTTCACAGCAATCTGAAGTCCTCGATGGAAACCGCACATTCCTTCATTCACAAAGGGGTACCAACAATTTTGTCCACTAGTGTAATTTGGTGCATGTGGTTATTATGGTTACCATATGCATTTTTGATAGAAACTATCAGGGTGTCTGTCTCACCAGGAACTCTTTGCCATTCGAAGTTGTCTTGTATCCACTCTTCGTAGCCAAAGGCTGAAGGTTGAACTCAATGTAAGAGTTGGGGTCCACCACAGAACAGCTCTGAGACATCAAGAGGACATACATTGTAAAACCATTTTGTGTTAAAATTTGTGTATAAGCTGTATATTAAAGCTATATGTAAGATTTATGTAGGTGAAGTCACATTGTTCTTGGTGGTTTTTATGGCACAGGCTGCCCTGGTCTCCCATATAAAGTTGGCAGTGCAGTTCTGTTCCAGCAGGAATCGGGGTCCCATAGACTACATAGTGTAGAGCACAAACAGAGTCACATCTCAGATATCTGCAGCACATTTAGAGTTAACAAGCAGCACACTCTCTCTGACAAAATCGTTTTCACTTACAGTAGTTCCTCTGGAGCAGACTAGGTGGATGCGTGTTGTGTATGAGAGTTTCTGGCCGTCTGACATGCAGGCAGAGCCATCTGTGAACTCCAGCAGCAGCCGGTCCCGTCCCTCGATGACCGGTCCTCGCTTGGAAACACCCATGTTACTGACTGACACAACCTCCTTTTGGGAGCCCTGAGGACAGAGAAAAGGAAACGTCCTAAATCTCATATCAGAGACCACTTATCCTCTGCATTTAGAGGCTAAAGGTTGTTATTTAGATGTTTATACTGATTATAAAGGGGCTGGACAGAGTAAGTACATAGGAAGAGCCATGTTTTGTACACTTAATTACAATATAGGTGGGACCTTTAATTGAATCACTTTGTAAAGGTAAATGTTTGTACAAATCTGAGATTGGCATTTTGTCTTGGTAAATATATTTGGCAAACAGATGTAATTTTGCAGGCTTTGCCATCTTAAAAGACACAGAAAGCTACAATATTGTGTAAAAATGGAGCCAATAACTTAATTTTGCGTTGTATTCACTGTCTGCACAAGGGCTCCCTCTTAATAGACCTAAACCAGCCAACTAGACTATAATCTTTGCCTAACTCAGACTTATTTTAAAAATCGAAACCTAACTGTAATAGAAATATGGTGAAAAGGAAAGATGAATGAAGCAGAGCAGTATATTGTACTCACTCAGTTATGCTTGCTACTGATGCTACCAGCTCCAGTGTTGAATGCTTTTGAAGTTCACTGAACTACTCATGAAGCAAACACCTTTTCTTTACACCGAGATTTCAAAGAAAGTGTTTGAGATGTGTTTTTGAGTCATATGTCTCATATGTATCTGATGGAACAGGCTTCTATGATGATCCATGCAGCTGTCTACACCACTGCCATAATGACTTTGACTGTGATATGCACACGGATCATAAAAGTAACAGCCACATGATTGCCAGGACCCTAAAAGCACTGTAATGAGATAGTCAATGTTATTCACCCATCTGTGGCTTTGATGTTGTGGCTGATACGCAGCTGCAAATGTATTTTAAGGCTTCATGTCCGTTTCACTCTATATTTTGTGCATAACTACAGTCATTGTCTATTGGACTCGCTTCCAAAACGCAAGGGACTTGCACTTAGCATTGTACCTGAACGACTCTGGTTTAGATATAGACGGAGCATTTGCTGCTCTGCTACATGTGCTGCTAATGTCTGTGCAGACACAGTGAGCTTGCACAGTGTGCTGGGATATCACCAGGAGGACATGGTACTTGCAGATGAGATTTTTTATTTTTTTTTACATTACTAATGAGGCTGTGACTCTGATGCAATAAACACTGTGGTGCTTAGCTATTACAGACCTGCTCGAGGGTGTATTTCATCTGGCAGACAGATGCATCACGGTCGCAGCCCGGGATAGGGTTGATAGGCCGACATATGTTAATATAGTAGTTCTTCCGGTTCAGGTTGTCAGACCAATCCATTGCCTGCCAGTTTCTGCTGTTGGTGGAGCGTGACAGGCTGGAGGAAGAGAAGATAAAATGTGTGTGAGAAGTGAGCCAGGCTGGTGGCAATAAAATCTCATGCTGAACTGAATAGTGTTTTGTTCATTTTGATATTCTTTCCTTGATTTTGTGAATATTTGGACAAAGTGTTTTGTGTATGTTGTTCTACGACTGCTTAAAAACATCTCTTGTATGTAATGATTTACCACAACTTGGTACATGTTGCCATGCATTACCTGGAAAGGTCATGCTGCTCAAGAGTGTCGGGATCTGTCACCAAACATTCATGGGGCCTTTCTGGACATGCGTAAGATGTATACCAGCGAAAGTTATAGGTGTACTTGTCTTCAACCTGGATTCAAACAGACCATAAAGAGTATATCATCAACATGCTGGGACAAAGTTTAAAAAACAAAAGGAAAGAGGAAGGGAGGAGTTTACCTGGAATTCGGGTTTGCCAGGTCCAGCTGTGGGGTCACAGAGGAAGGAGATGAGAGTGGATCTGAGGGTGTGTTGTTCATTGTTGTACTCGGAGCCGTTACTGTAGGTCAGCTGGATCAGGCCGTCGTAGTAGGACAGATGGGAGTTTGCTTCCCCAAGACTCCAAGAACTAAAGAGGAAAGGCAAAAGGGGAAAATATGATAAGATCTAAGTTGCCACATCATAGCTGAGAAGAATATAATACAGTTAAATGTGCTGTCAATACATTGAAATATAATTTAACTTCTGTCAGATATACGTTGAAAAAAGCATGTGAAATAATTTTCAAAACCCAACATAAAAAATATCAAAAAAAATTCCGGCCTTCACCCTGAGTCAGCTGGGATAGGCTCCAGCCCCCCCGCGACCCTAATGAGGATTAAGTGGTGTATAGATAATGGATGGATGGATGGATATTAAAAAAACATATAAAAGCACAAATACCAGTACAGCAAGCTATGGCAGGCAGACAAGGTTTATCCCAGCACATCATCATTATTTCTATGATTGTATATTTTATAGGACAACATACATAACAGTCTATGGTCGTGCGTAGTTGCAGAAATGTGTGGTTTTTGATCCTCTTGCATGTTAGTGGCTCCTTCTTACCTCTTTTCCACCTGGCACGCGCCGGCCTTCTCAGGACACGTGGCAGCTTTGACTGAACCACAGACATTGATGTAGTAGTTATAGCTTTCATTGGTCAGGTTGTAGAAGCCACCATCAGGTTTGGAGAGAGGTGACAAGTCAAAAGAGAACCCTGTGGAGAAGCACAGGCAAGTGAGAGGATGACTGAAGTAGGTTCAAAGAAGCAAGTCAAATGGAAATGGTCTGGTTTTTCTGGTCTGATCCACTGCCCACCAAATGCAAGAGCTGAAAATAAGACGGCAAACTTTCTTACAGCAAATTTAGTTGATTTACCTCTATTGGTGTCAAAAATGTTTTTAAAACATACAATAAGTTTCCATCCTTGTTATCCTCCAAATGTGAACTACATTTGAGAGCAGAGCACAATCAACTGGAATCAACCCTGCATGCCAAAAGACTGTGTGGAAATGTTAACAGATAATAAGATAATAATGTTGACAGGCAAGCCTTGTTGAAGCCAAAGAAATGTATAGCTGAAATAATAAGTTGATTAGTTTATCAGGAGTATATTAATTGGCTGCTTATTTTATTCACTTTAAACTAACTTCAACTCAAACAGGCGATGCAGCTGAGACTTTTTCCACATCGTCCTCTTTTTTTCAGTCATCACATCAACTGATGGAGCCTTTTATCTTCTACAAAACTGCACAAACTCAGTAGGTTGGTGGGGCTGATTGGAAATTGAACAAAGTGTTCAGTGTGATGAACAATCTACTGCCTGCTGAGCTAAATCAGACAGACTCTGACTTACTTTGAAACTCCTTTAACGTGTGGCCTTAGTACTCCTGGTTGTTTTCCCTAAAGGATTAATATATTAGGTCTGCTTCCTAAAAGTCGATGCTTCAAAGTATCAGTTGAACATCCCTGATTCAACATGGATTTTCCAAGTAAAGCATTTGCTAATCAGTGTGATGACATGTGCTGTGTTTGTGGTTAACTGATGAGAGAAACTGAAACCCAATACTCTTGTTACTGTTCCCCTTAGGCGACAAAGCCTGGTGGATAACCTGTTTGTGACAGTCAACCATTAAGTGTCTAGATGGGCCTATGTTTCAATGTAACAGCCAGTCAAAATTCCAATTCAGGGTCATCCCTAATCATTCTTACTATTGTTATCTCATACACATCTACCTGCCTGAATTTAATAAATGTGAGATTTGCTGTTTTTTCCTATTTAATATGATGGCAATCTCAATGTATTTGTATTTTGGGCTATAGGACAGACAGATTCAGGTGACATTTTGGGCTTTAGAACATTGTGATGGATATTTTTTCCCTGTTTTCTTGCATTTTATAGACGTATAGTTAACAGATAATGAAAATAATTGTTAGGTACTTTTAAGCTCTTAGTGAGTGAAAAACTAGCTAAAGAAAAGTGTATGAGCAGAACACTTAATCAGGTCTGAACACTCAAAACATGATGACTTACTTCCTGTAAGTCATCAAGGAATTAATCAATTCAATAGAATGTAGAAACAGACATATAGTTAGTGCCTAAGAAATACCTATTCTACTCATAAACATTCTTCAAGAACTCTGTTATTTCTTTCTATGTTTGCTCCACTTCTGTATTTTTCTTGCTCCAGTAAAATATTGATCAGCAGAAACCACACTGATTAAACTTGTGTGTTTGTGTGTGTTTCTCTGTGTCGTACCAGCCTGAGGGTCCTCCACCTTGCAGTCGTCTCCTTGCGTCTTCGAGAGGACGCAGGCAGCAGCAGTGTACCACTCCAGCTCATAAACACATTGATCAGACGAAACGCTACGAAGGACAGGAGCGCTCTCGAGATCCCCTGAAAGAAAAGAGAAAAAGCGGAGAGTAGGAGGAGGTAAGAGTGATTTAAACATATGAAAAAAGTCAGAATCAGAATAGTCAGAATAATGTCGTATAAAAGTATTCAAGACAGTTATATTTAATGGTTACTTATGTCTCTGTTCAACATACCAGGTTTGCATTTGAGTGTCAGGATAGTTTGGATCCTTGTCTTTTTACCGATGCAAAAATTTCCATCAGTGTACACCAGCCTGATGTCATTTCCTATTTTAGTCCTCTGAGGAGATGAGAGGAAGCCGCCCAGGCTGATAGCACCATGATTCTTATCTGGATGTAAGAGACACAATCAATAAACAACACCAGTCATGTTTACTTCAAGGAAAAAGGAACGTCTCTTACATGTGTTTTTTAAATTGTTTTCAACTACAAACATGTCTGTCATCCCCAAAATGTACCAGCTTCTTCACACCTTCATACCACCATTACTGAATTACTAATCTGAAACAATCGCATCCACATCATCCAGTAAATGTTCTTACCCACGGCACAGATGGAAGCATTCACGGGGCAGCCGGCAGCACCTCCTGACTGAATGACTTTGTGGCAGACATTCAGGTAGTAACGTGAGTCTGACTTTGCAGATTTAGTATCCACTGCCTCCCAGTTCCCTCCATCACCTGACCCTGAAGCAACATGCAGAGACACAGTGAAAGGTGATTTTTCGGCAACAGGAATCAGGAAGTTAAGAAACAATAGCGCAAGTTAATACCATCACTCTCACAGTTCAGTAAATTTCAACTTAATTTAATTAGGGGAAAATATTACTGTTATTATGCAGGTCAGCATTATCAGTGTAGTATCACGCAGGAACAAAAGAAAACAATGAAAACAATGAAAATAAAATAAAACGAAATAAAGTATGACCTGTTGAACTCACCAGGGTATCTTGTGAGAGGTGAAAGGTCATAGTGTTTCTTGCCATCTCTGACCCGACACAGCAGATCCTCCTTCTCCTTGACACAGGCAAAAGCCGTGTCCCAGTTGAAGTAATAGGTGCAGTCCGTCTCTCCTGCAAACACTGGATTCCCTCGCCCACCATTGGCTGCAGAAAATATGGTGAATAGGAAGGAAGATGAAGTAAGCTGAAGACATGGCATGGTTGAACATGACCAACACTTCTAAATAAGTGGAAAGTCTGGAAAATACACAAGGTGACAGTTGCTACCAATAATTCAGAGGCCAGGTTGCATTTCTTCTGAAGCTGAACTGTAAATGCATTACTTTTTCGTAAGTAATCATAATTTTGTCTGTGGTGTGTGTCTTTATTTAAATTTATACTGAGGAAATCCACAATGTCATTCACTGCCTGACAAGGTGAAAATTCTTATATTGTAACGCTTCTTGTAAACTAAGAGTTGTTGCAGTTTGACCTCTTCTGAATGTCTTGTATTTCTTCTCTTTTTCATACACTTTGAAAACAGGTGAAGTTATTTCCTTTGATTTACCAGGGAGAGCAAACGGAAGTAATTCTATTTTAGTACTAACCTGGCAGGAATTCCCCACTCTGATTTCTGATCCTACCACTAGATGGTGCCAATGTAAAGAAATTCAAAACCCTTAACAGTGTGTGATAAATAAAGCTGCAAAATAAAGTGGACAAGGCTTTCAACAACAACAAAAAAGTCATAGAATTCTATTGAAAACTTCACATACATGCAGTCTTGTTGCACTCAAAGTTGATGATGGTCATTCTCTGGAAGCCTGAGGAGCATCTGCTGCCGTCTGGATAGATCAGAGTCAGATCTCCATCTGAATAACTGCAGAAGAAAAGAAAAAAAAAAAACACAAGGAGGGACGTGAGTAGAGTTGGTAGTCAGGAGACTGGCAAACATTCAATCATTGTCCCAGTGTTAAAGACACTCTTCATGGACGATTACTGGGACAATGAGTTCATATTTTTTTGGATAACAGGAAAAAAAAAATCAAACTTAATGTTTTGCAACACAAAAACCAACAGAATCATCGATCTAAGTAAAAAACAGGACATTTTAAAATATAATGTATATATTTTTTATCTAAATTATGCCAGCGTTACCAGGACTCCATCCAACACTGACAAAAAGACTTGTCGCATGAAGGCAGTCCCTGCATTACACTGCACTGTGTAGCAGGTTGTACTGTAACTTTATCAAGATCACAGATAACAACGTCCGCACAAAATAACGCCCAAACAGAACATTTTGAATGGCTCACAAATAAAGGAGTTGGCTGGCTACCTCACCACTGCATAGCCAGCTTTGTGCGAGCAGGTCGAACTGAGAAACTCAGAGTTTGGTGATAGAAGAATAAATTATCAAACTGACTCCGGGGTAGCAGGAGGGATTCATAGTCAATATGAATGGATACAAATGTTTTATAGCATTCATCAATTATTTTATGAAATCCAAGCCAATTGCTGCATCATGGAAGGTTATAACAGTTTTATATTACTGATGTCTTGCATGGTTAGATTTCTTTCTTTAACTTAAATATTCATTATCCCTGTCTTCACCCTGAGTCAGCTGAAATAAGCTCCAGCACCCCTGCGACCCTAGTGAGGATTAAGAGGTGTATAGGTAATGGATGGATGGAAATCTTCATTATTGACTTTAAATAAAACATTTTAATAAAATAATCCTGTCTTCAGATCCATTTATCAGCTTTCTGCAGATCTTCTAATGCCTTCTCCCGTAAAGTTTGTTGAAGTGGGCAACTGAGCTCCCTTACAGCAGAAAGTGTAATATAGTTGTTGTTTTTTTTAATTGGGCTAATAGGACACACATACACATAAATATATATTACCGTAGTGTCTGGTTCTGATTCCTTCCAGCCACCTTACTCATCTCTGAGGCCTTCTTCACCTGGCAGGACGATATATATTGCTCGTCACCACATTCATCCGTGGGGATCTTTCCACACACATTCAGGTAGTAGATGTAACTTTCAGGTCCTTCACTGGTCCCAGAGTGCGCGTGGTACGGATGGTCTGTAGCTACACACACACACACATAAGATGGTGTTAGAAGGTTCAGGCATATTCAGACACATTGATTATCATTATCTTCTTCCAAGTTGACCGTTAACTGTATAATCACTACTACAGGGTTCATATTCACAAATAAGGTTTTAGGATTACAGATTATATCCAACTTTAAAGATTCACACAGGGATGCATATGTGGAACCAAAAATATCTCACGCTTATCTTAAGAATAAGAAATCTGCAGATGATATTTGCTTTCTCTCATTTATGATATGTTTGTCACTGCTTAAATTAAAATAGGTGAAGGTCCCAAAAGTTTGAACTACTCCTGTAAACAAAAAGATTATAGGCAAAATCCTTGATAGTCATGAGCTTCAATTTGAAATGAGCCTTTTCTGATTTTCATTTCATATGTACACCCACTTGTTATAACATCAGGTGATCACTGCTTCTTTGCAAGGACTGTGACACTATGTGGGTAAAGGATTTTTCTGACAGTAACTTGACAGAAACCAGGAAGGTCATGGCAGTTTACTCATAAAGTCACTTCCTCTAAATGGGATAAAAACAGCATCCCCATGAGCCAATAATACTTACAGCTTTAACATGTAACTGTGACTAATGCAAGATTTGTGTAACTGCAGAAAACCAAGGAATGTTTGAGTTGTGTTTTAATCTAAAGAGCATACATTAATAGTCACCTATATACGTTTGTACACTAGCACTTCGCTACCTGGTGCATGTAGTTTGTTCACACTGTGCTTTACAAGGACCAACTGTACTTCTGTGTTTGTAAGAATGAGTTGGAAAATTGAGGATGTTTTTGTAACATAACAGCATTTTACTGAAGCTAAAAACACATCCTTCCCCCTTGTGCCTTGCATACTGTCACCAAGTTTACTAAAGTAACACCAGTTGAGACAGAATTAATTAAACCATAGAGCAGCTTTCTCATGATTTAGGAAGTAGTCACATTAAAGCAGCTGTAATCAATATTCATATAATGCATAAAACAATGCATCAAATGACAATGTTAAAATAAAGTGGCAACGTAAAATGAACCTACAGAGGAAGCTCAGCTGCATCTAAAGCTCCCCTTGGCCTTGCTTTTGGCTGGTTCACTCTCATAGCTTCATTTTCAGGTACAGCAAGCAGCTGTTTTTGCCAAATAAAGTCTAGGATCTGACTGGACACACCTGCTGTAATGGTCATGTCATAGGGGTTTTCAGGCATGGAAATTAATGGTCAGTGATGTAGAGAAAGAGCTACTTACAGCCTAGCGTGAGAGGTGTTAGGTCTATGGAGATGTCATGCTGTTGACTGGTCAGTTTGCAGGTATGGCTCTCCAGATAGTCCCTGTGACAAGCGTATTCAGTCACCCACTCCACCTCGTAGCGACAGTTCGACTCTGCGATCATCTTGGGAGTGCTGCCCTGTGAAAGCAAACGTTTGGTAAAAAAAGAATTAACGATATTTTTTCAAAACTGTGAAAACCTTATTAAAGTGAAACATGCAGATACAACAAGTTATATTTAAGCGATGAAATGTATAAACAAGTCAATATAAAGTTTGCTGTGTAACCTACCGAATGTCTGCTTGACGGACAGGTGAAAGTGATGGTAACAGCAGGTTTGTGTCCTTTACACATTTCTGGACGAGGCGAGTCGTCACTGACTTCATACTGTAACCTGAGGCTATACAATACAGGAGACAAGAAACAAGTTACATTTCTGATTAAAGAGATTTGTTAAGATTCAGCGTCATCAAAAGTTTGTCCTTCTCTCCAATAAATGTGCCACATCAACACATACTTATCTAAAGACAGTTGTCTTTTAAATACATCAAGACACTCTAAATCCTATATAAGGTTCAACCTATTCAAGCAATTCTAAATTTAAAGCAACAAAACGAGACAATCTCTTCAGACGGCAAGCTTCAAATCCTTCCCTACTCAAATTCAAACAGATGAATGGACTGCCATGTATTAAAGAGGAGGTTAACAAACAACACAACGGTACCTGTCGTCTGACACCAGCTCTAGCTGCTTGGTAGGAGCGCCCATGCTGTAGGAGCCCTGACTGGTGACGAGACAAGCTGCAGAGCCCTCTGGACAGGATTTGTCTGGACGGTCTGAGACGATGAAGAAAGACATGATGATTATAGGAGATCAATTTGGTGGGCTGGTAAAACGTATCACATGGAATTAAAATAAATATAACAGTAATGCTTAAGTTGCAGCAGGATTTCTTTCTTTGTGCTCGTTGGTATGGCAGGTAGGGATTGTGTCACATGTATCACAGCATAACTTACTTTTTATACATGCAAAGTTTCAAATAACACAACAAAATGTGACAATTTGAAAGGGGTTATTTGTAGTGGTGAACCTACAAAGCATTTTCAAATGATTCAGCAGCTCCACTCTGCTTAAATCTGCTATGCAGTGAGTTTCAGTTCACTGTTTCAGGTCCACAACCTTTCTGTTTTGTTTCACTATCTCTGCTGTCAGAGCATTGTTTTTGACTGGAGCAGGCAGCTGTTTTCAACAAAAAAGTTCCAAAAGATCCCCTGAACATTTTCTGCTCTGCACTCAACAGTGGACAGACAAAATATGTGACTATGTGGAGGACTACATAGGCAGATACTTTCCTCATTAGCTGAATAAAACCCCATATAGAGTTAAAAGAGAGTCAATATTGGACTTAAGCAAAACTAACATGTAATTTAGGCCATGTTTCTAACTGATGACTCTACCAGCTGGATGTGCAAATAAGCTACTGTTTGCCGTCAAGTTATAAGCTATTGTTTGCTATCAAGTTCAGCTTCATTCCACAAGCTGTTAGAATGCTGAACTGCTGATCCACATATGTAAACACTTGTTCATTTAAATTACTTTAAGTTATTGAATCCTGAAGAAACCCTCTTTCATCTTGCCTGTACTACTATTGTATGTACAGCTAGATGACAATACACTTGATTTGATAATAAGCATAACAGCAATCCATTATTGCAAGCTAAAAACCCACACGGCTTAAATTTTATCGTAAAACACTGATGATTTTGCACACTTTTATAGAAACGAAAAAAGAAAAAGCATCTAATTAGCATCTAATCACCTATCAATCAAAAACCAATGGCCTAGTTTTAAACCATTAAAAGAAATGTCAGAGAAGACATTTTACATTTAAAAAAATTAAGACATTTAACCTAGTTTCACATTATTAATGCACAAAGACATTTTATTTTCATCTAAAAGTGCACTGTGACAATAAAACTGTCTTTTCCTGCTCCATCTCCATTTTCCAGCTTTGTACCCTCAGTGGCCATTACAGCTTTTACACCACTTGTGGGCTTTCATCTGATAGGGAAATGACCTTAAAAAGGCTCAGTGCTGTTGAATCTAATCAGACATCCATTTCATCTACCCTCCCTCAGATACTCACTGAGACTGCGGCAGATGTTGATGTAGAAGTCAATGTTGTCATCGCCATCGTCCACCAGATAGCCATCATTCACTTTGATAAGCGGGTTGAGGTCATGCTTCTTACCATCCGAGTCAAACACGTAGCAAGGTACCTGGACAAAGAAGAGGAAGGTTAATGCTGCACTATAGAGATATTTATAAATCAGTCAGCTGTATTCACACAGAGTTAAATAGTTGATTGATTACAGGGTGTTAAAACTAAGGCAGCCATCCTACAAATTGTCATTAAATTAATAAGAACTGCTGTATTTGATTTGTGTGTGGCTGTTAAAATGTTCAGCATGCTTCTATAAAGCGTGTTTCAGTGTAGTAACTGATGATTAAGGTGTCCACATTCAGCAAAAATGCCCTCTAAATTGTAATAAATCTGTCATACCACATCCTCCCCAAATATAGCTACTTGTAAGGTTAAATTATGTAGCTTCAATACTTTTGGATGCTATGATTTAGAGATGTGTTTAAATCTTATTTAAGGACGGGAAGAATCACATCAGATGGTTTTAATTCATGGCTCATTTTTTGATCAGTTTACACAACTTTTTAAAGAGGCGCATAAAAGTATGTAAAAACTTGTCAGTACACAAATGTGACTAAGAATGTGTCAATATGGTATAAGTATATAATGTTTTTTAATTGAACAAATACTGATCTTTCCCTCTTCTGCAAAGATGTGTTGCTAAAAGAGCAGCTATAATTAATTTCACACATTTTTTCAATAATTCAATATTAAGCTCACATTAACATGATCACTGCAACGTGTCTTTTGCACCAGAACATCGAAGCAGTAAGTCAGAGATGTGTTAAGTAAGGAAATAAGAAGTAGTGAGGAGGTTTGTAGCATCTTTTTCTTACTTTATTCAAGTAAAGCATAATGAAAACAAAATGGCACAAACCTCCTCACAAGAGTGGGAAGGCAACATTCAGCTTCCTCTCCAATACGTCTATCTACACTTTACCAGACCGCATGACGGTTTCATTCTTTCTTACACATGAAGCAGCCTCGTTGGTGACTCAGCCGCCCATCAGATGTTCCACCACATACCTCTTTGTGTGGCTTGAATTTATCTTTCTTGCAGGCGGTGTAGGTCTTCCACTCAAAGTAATGCACACACTGTGAAACGGCAACGAACTCTGGAGTGCCCTGCAGCAGACAAAGACGGGAACAAGAGTAAGACAGAATGTTTCATGTTGACACAGTTGATGAACACACTAAAGCTGTGAGCTGTGTAGTAAGTAGCCCTGCTAGAGAGAGAGGAACAAAGCCAAAGAGCAAGTCGTACCAATTTACAATACAGATGAGTAAAAAGACGGTTTAGCGGCTGAGCTGCTTTATTGCGTCACGGTTTTACGTGTCATTGTTTCGGTTATAATATAGAACTTCTTAAGCTTATATATCAGCGCTTGACTTTACAATTATTCCCCACATTTATAGCTGAGCGTTCCCCATCATGACCACAATCTGCTGCTGCAGCTGGAGTGTTTGACAGGTCAGTGCTTACTCAAGGGCTTCTAAAACATTCATTGAGAGGGGAGAGCAGTTTTTATTCCCAGGACCAATCCCAAACTCCACACTCATGGACTTTGAGGCACATTCCTCCTAAGTGTGGTGAGGGCTTAAGGCTATCCCACTACCAAATCATCAATTTTATAAGGGTTCTGATGTGGACGGTTATGCATCTTTTCTGTGATGTGTTGTTTCCAAGCAGCTTGTGCTGTCCCAATATTGTGCCCCTTTCTTTTTATATAATTTCAAGCCTTCATGAACTCCCACAGACAAGTCCTGCAGCTATGAAGTCAGCAATGTGTGTTATGTGAGAGATTGGGATTGGGTCCCTTTGTTCTTTCACGTTTTACCAGTCATTCCAGGGAGCCAACCTAGTAACTCTGCAGGTTGCAGGCAAACTTGTTTTATCTTTTTTTTAAACTCTTGATGTCTGGTTTTGTGTGTCAACCTTTGCTAAAAAATGAGCCAGTGAGTCACACTATGAAGGAATGGCATAACAAAAGAACAGAAGTTTGGCTTCTGAGCTATTTGGCTCAATATTTCTTCACACTGACTAGACTAGAAGGACAGGTAACGTGATGCTAATTCTTTTTTTTAGATTTCATACTATTGTATTGATCTACAGGTAGCTAAAATGTGGAAAGATGAGGAGCAACAGACCAACAGAGGCCAGGCAAAAGAAAATTGTAAGCATGGTTGTGAACAATGCAGGTTTAAACTGTAGAAAAATAGGTTTTACAGATGAGGATAGAAAGGATAGAACACATTTGCTAGACCTCCAGAACACACATTATGCAGTGGATGGAAGCAGTAACTTAGCTTGTTTATAAGAAAATTCTACAAATGATTAAAAAAATAAATAAATAAATTCTGACAAATTTTTTTAGTAACCCTAAATGATGCAGAACATACTCGTATGACTTCAGGAGATAAGTCATCTATATTTCCATACAGTGAATATGTTACAATACAGAAGAATAGAAGGAATAGACCAAAGCCATTATAATATTCTATTGGAGGCACTTTGAAATGTTTGTATTTTTGTAAATATTCTACATGTGCAGTAATACAGACAGCAGGGAAGCAAGGTACACTTCTGGTAAGTCCAATTATACAGCATTTTGTTCATATCACTTCTTCCTTTAGGCATATGATGACTTTCTGAATACTTTTATGTAAGCCACTTTCAGTTCTCCTCTTCACACTCTGTAACCTGAAAATCTCCCTATGAAGCAGAAAACCATTCTGATTAAACAGGAAATCACAAGTTGCTGTCAACCCCACAGAAACTCCACGCACACAACACACAGACACACACACACAGACACACACACAGACACACACAGACACACACGCTGAAGTGAGCGGAAATATATACATGTCAGGTGACTTATTGTTCTACATAATTTCCATTCACAGTTTCACTGACATAGACACAGCTGACATCCCATAAACACCATTTCTATTTCTTATGCTGTTGTGAAAGAGACACTAGTTTTGAAAACTCTTCGGGAGGGAAATCTTGATTTCAACACATCAGTTTGTTATCTAGTCACTTTTTAGGCTGTCAGAATGCACTGTCACAACACGTCCAAACAACCTCAGTGTTGCGCCACAGCTTAAGTGGTGATTCGGGGTGTAACTTTATGCTCCTACAAAGCTTATTATTTTGAACCTTTGTACCATGTTAAAGTGTCAGCGCTGATGGACAATAAGCTAGAGCTTTACTACTTCTTAAAGCGGCTAGATTTCTCCTCATTAAAACCTGGCATCACTATACACAGTATGTCCTTAAAGAAGACCATTTTGGATTGCACCTATCTTCCAGGCCTAATTATAAAAAGAGGAAACACATGCAGTTAAACTGTGCCAGCTCTCCAAATTTGGATTCAATGACATTGAAATAATATTTTAATAGCAGAATTTGGCCAATGTTGCTATACTGATGTTATGGATAATAAAGAATGTACACTATTTGTGCATTTGTGCGTGTAAGTATAATTTATTATGCTGGATCTTTCTAGTACAGATTTAACAAGGTACCCCTCGAAAACAAATTTAACAGTAACAGACTTTAAATACAGACAGCACTGGTCGCTGGTTAACTTGGGATCTCCTCCTTATATTTATCCAGAGAGGAGAGGCGACTTAAACATGTTAAGCAGAAAAAATATATATACTGCAAAATTATAATGGATTAAAAATTGTGTACAGCAATGAATGAAAATAGCTTTCAAAATGTATGAGGCTAATTTCTGTGTGACTAAATAGACCTCCTGGGATGTTGCACAAATGAGTGTGTATGTGGATTGTACATATGCATTTATGCAGTTAAATGTCTACTCACGTTTTTATGATGGAGGAAAGCAACACATTGTAGCAGTGTACCAAGACAGGTTTCCTCTCAGGGACGGTAAAGCTTTCCCTACTCTACTCTAGAGGCTCTACTCATCTCTCTATTTTGAGCCACCTCATCTCTTCTGTCCTCCATCCTGCTGCCTTTGACCCAGAAATTGATCTTAGTACACCGTTTTGAAGGATGTCTCAATTCCTAAAATGCATCTCGAGAAGAAAGAAGGCTGGATGCAGGAGCTATGAACGCGGACGGTTAGGTGTATCCTGTAAGTCTTTTCGGCAGCCGTGATAAAAGGTATAAAAGAGGATTGACACTCAGCTTGAATATACAAACCCCATCAGAAGCAGGATCAACAAATGTGTCCATACATAATACATAACTCAATCATAATATACATGCAATAGGCAAACACCTCTTTATTTGTGTTGTTCTCTCTTCTGTGTCACTTCTTATATAATTTGTATGCGTTGATTATTATGTACATAGCTTATATACCAAGCAGGTGGAATGTGGAATCTCTGATTGGTTGTTTCAGATTTTCCACTGGACACTCCCAGTTCTATTGGTGGTGTACCAGTATTGTTTTTGTGTGTGTGTGTGTGTTTTTGTTTTGTTTTTTTGTTTTATGTTTATGACCTCATGTGAGTGGACAGTTCCTGGCACTGTCTTTTGTGTTCACACCAACCATTAACTCCATGTCCCAACTCTCGCTGTGCTGAGCATGTTAGCAGCTACTGAAAGACACAACTAAAATCTGAAGACGTTGTTATCTAATCAAGCACGGTCGTTAACAGAGCAGCAGTTTATGCTTTTTCAGCCTATAAATATATAACACACAGTGTGTTAGGCTGCAGGCTATGTCAAAACACAATTAAGTGCACTGTAGTACTGTGGCTGAGTGAATCCACTGGCAGAGGACTAGAGCTCCTGCTGCACAGCACAGACCCAATGTTAGCTAACACACAGATACACAACACCAATCAATCATTTCAATATATTCCCATAAACCCTGCTCTTGTAGGAACATGAATCATATGTCTAAAAATACTTAAGTGTTGTTGCTTGTGAGTCTTACCATGGTTTTCCCACACTGGAAGCTGATGCTGGTCTGAATGCTGTTGTTGCTTTCAGGACATTTTCTTGTGCTGTTGTAATCCAGCACGGTACCAGACAGCCTCTGCAGGGACATGTCACCTGTACATTTGACATAGAAAAACACAGTCAATTACAGACTACCGACATGGCTGCACACCGTTTCCAAGACCTTGAGCTACGAAGAACTTCCCTCATTGTAAAGGTTGCCAATAACAACAAGAAATCCTTAACACTGAATTATATTCAGATCATTACACCCACAAAAAGGCAGAAATATCGACAGGTGACAAAATCCCCCATAAATAAAATGAACAACAATGCATTCATTAGAATTATAGCGGTAGTAGTAACTATGCTTCCCTTGTCTTTACACCTTTCATTTTCAACACGCCTCTTTCATTTGTTGTGTGCTTTATGGATGGAATTGTATGTGGAGCCACTTAACACTGATATGCTGCTAACATGAAAAGTTTATCTAATAAAATCGAAGAAAAAAAAAAAAAAAGAAAGGATAAGTATAAATTTATGAAAAAGATCTGGAAGTTAGACCAATAAACATTTCAGGCTGACCACTTGACAAAATAATACGTTAACCCACAAACCACATGAGACCCAGTGGGTCAATGTAAAGTCTGTATCTCACTGACAAACACCACACATCCTCTGTGCCGTACTATTTTGATCACAATGTCAGTACAGAGCCTCCATTAATCATCTCAGTGCACACAAACAAGAAACCAACAACAGTGGGAAAATGTGCACGTAAAGCCTCTGACTGAATTTAAAAACTGGCAGGCGGTTAAATAAACTCACAACAGGTCAGCCGGATGACACGCTATGAAAATACCTGATGTCTGTAAATGTATCACCACGTGTGACAGTCTGAAGCTCGCTCTGTTGCATCAACAAACAAGAGAAACAAATTGGATCAAATGCTGTCCTCAGTGACGATTTACAATCCCCTTTGTAATGAGCTGTGTATCTGTGTATAATTGCCAGCCTCATTTTATTCCTTGTGTTTTTATTTTAGTTTATTTTTGTGGCATTTAAAATGCTCTAAAAAAAGGACATATTACTTTTATGATTTCTTTCACCTGAAGTTGGACTTAATGAAACTTCCATTAGATTGGATGTGCGTTTACATGCTCTCTGAACCTTGTGATATGACAGACTGCTATCACAAGAGGGCTGTAAAGGAATGTAATTGAATAACAGCGTGACCTACTAACACCAAAAACTACAGTACACAGGGCTGTCAGTGTGTCAGAACTATTCTGATACAACACCACTCAAGTCCCTGCCTGTTGCACTGTCTCAAGTTCTGTAATATTCATTTACAGTTTCCATTTGTTATATTTTGTCAGTATTATGACACTACAGTGAGCAGTGGATTATACAACATACATGGATTAACGCACGTTATTCTGGGAGTTTTCATTGCATAAAGCTACAACGTACAGTTGTTTAACAGCTGATTGACAGAAAACCGATATGATCTCTGTAACCTTTTCTGGTACTAGCTCAAAAGTGAAGACTTGTTGCTTGTCTTTATCATTTCTATTTGTAAGCCAAATGTGAAACAAGTATAGATGAGGGGTCGGCCAACCTGGATTTCTTTGGGTGGATAACAGTTATTCAAAATCAAAGAAACTGATGACGATGTTTTTTTGAACTGATGTGCATTTGCTGTAGCTAAACATGTGTACCACAGCACTTGTTAAGTAAGTCAACCATTTTTATGATGACATATTGTACAGTACTGCTAAAGGTGAAGTGCTTTGTTGATTAAAGGTGGAGTCTGTGATCCTAGAGACAGATTAATATTGTCTAGGTACATTTAGATGCCTGTTCAAATGCAAAGAATATGTTGGAATAATGTTGGATTAGTAGATGATGAGCAAACATTTAGTGAGTGAATAATTATTAAAGTAAATTAACAAGCAAAAAATAGTTAATCCACAGCTTTGCTTTGCTTTGTGTGATAGCAAATCTTTTGGATTATGTTTTTGAGCTGTGAGACAAAAAAAGGTAACTTTAAGACCTCAAATGTAATTTTTTGATGGCCACTTTTCACTACTGCGTGCAGTTAGTTTTAAAAAAGTAAACAGTGAATCTAAAAAGCAATGAGAGTCAAACATGACACAAAATAACATAGTTTTAACCTTGATTTCAATTTTTAAAGTGTGGAAACAAACATAAAAGAAGCACAATAGATGTGAATGTCAAAGCGTATCAATGAACCACATGTGGCTTCTGAGCAGAGCTGAGCGGACAGCATGAATAATGCCTCGAGCAGCAGTACAGAGAGAGGCAAGAGCGTGAGATTTGGGCCTATTTGTGTTAGTGAGCATTTATGCCTGATGATGTGTTCCTGGGTCATGTGATAAGTCAGCCAGTGTGATTAAACTCTGACTCATCTAACTGCATCGTGTTCATCATCTCTTGCTTTTTTCACTTTCCCAGTTATATTTTCCTCATTAATAATAAATGCATTTTAATAAGGACATATTAATAACAATAAGATGGAAAAACAACAGCTCCCCAACAACATGAGCCTTCAGTCTGTAGGCTTTCTATAAGCAACACAGCACTTTGTCACAGTCAGGAATCTGAGTCAGATGACACGCTCTGGCTGAGAGTTACCAAACACCAATTTGTTACCGGGGGAAGGTCGCAACCTCAGACTGCAGGACAAGTTGTTGTTGTGAGACTCTGAAATAACGTCGTCTGGCAGCCAGAAAGGTCACGGGCAAAATCAAAGATAGTGATGTAACGGAAGTTGAGAAACAGCCTCAAGTAACAACAGTAGGCTTCTTTTTTTCCCCAAAAAATCAAGAGACAGTAGCTAATAGCATGTGACATTTGGTCTGACCGTAACACAACTTTCAGGCCGACAAGTGCTGGTTTTGACCGCTGTGAAAATGCAGTCATGTGTGAAACCACATGGAAAAAGTTATCAGTGACAGAATGCATGAGGAGGCATTTAATAAGGAATAAGTGGCACAAATACGAACAGACTACTTTTGACATTTTACATTTCTGCGCATGTCTTAATTCATTATAGTCTTCACTAATAAAACAAGAAAATGTAACATAAAAGTGTCTGTTAATGAATGATAATTGAGGCAGCACATCGGTCCCCTGGGCTAAGCAAACCTCTGATTAGAGGTTTGTAAAACAGTGGGGCGTTTCCCAGCAGGGGGGCCCACTGCTTGTGGTTGCTTTCAACCCCAAGGAGGAAAAATGTGGAGCAGAACCAAAGCTGAACGAATCTGATTGATGTGGCAACGGTAAACACAAAAGACAGCATTCACACTAATAGTACAAGTTAGCGAGACTTATCAGACGCAAAATGACATAAGAGATCTGACAACGTAGAAACAAGTGATACTCGCCAAGAACGCAGAACAGTAAAACAGGAGGACAAGATATCAAGGCTGTCATATATCAGTTAAGACTTGGGTCTGTTAGATTTAGATACAAATCTTTGGCATTTGTGTCAAACCTCTGACAGCTTACAAATACACAAGAGAAGCAACAAGCAATTATTTTTTATTATCAATTAATCTGCTGCTGATTTTCATTAACTGTTTAGTGAAAAACAGTGCCATGCAAAACGTTCTTTTTGAACAACAAACCATCCAGAACCCAAATGCATTGTACGTTATATCATACAACGCAAAGACAGAACAGCAAATTTGAAAGGCTGAAAACACCAAATGTTAGATTTTTTTTAAAAACACCTTACACATAATAACTTATGTAAGGAATGCTCACGTTCCTCAGCTTGACTTTTAGGTAAACAACATGAAATAAAATTATTTTATAGCTGGCTGCACCTCACAATTATTTTGATTATCAGTTTTTATGCTCACATATTTTTGACTAATCATCCGGTCACAAGTTCTGAGAGGCCAAGGTGACATCTGCAAATGTATTGTGCAATAAATAGTCCACAATCCAAAAGCTATTTAATTCAAAATTATATCAAGCACAGACAATCAATGACTGACATTTAGAGAAACAAAAGCAGCAAATATTTAGCAACTAAAGGAAGTGGAACTATTACTCATCAAATATGCTGCTGATTAACGTTCTGGTTTTTTTTGGCTATGTGATTCAGCGTTCGTTTGATTTGTCAAATGCTGCTAAATTTCCTTTGGTTTACAGGGCATGAGATGCAACATTATTTCTCATATAATAACACTGAAGAGTCACAGGTTTAGCTGAATTACAGTGAGAAGATATGAGTTTACTAGTACTGAGGTATTCAGCGGGGGACAATAAAAATAGAGGCTGAGACACAACAGGCTTTTCAGGACAGAGATGTGGATGTTGCTGACACACAGCAGCAGCAGGAGCAGCAGCAGATTCAGCCTCATCAGCACAGAGATCACATCTCTAATGAGGTTCTGAAAGACTGATCCATGCAGCATCAGTTCAATTAGCATCCAAACCCTCAGCTGTCTGCAGGAGGACTGAGTTTTGTGTATTTTGATGCAGCTTTTCACTAAAATAGCAGTAATTATGACACTTCTCATTCTCAGACATACTGTACGTGTATATACTAAAGGGCTCATGGGCTTTGTGGTGATATATGCAGTTAACAATGCAACAAACCTACGGTGGGCAACATCTTAAAAAAGTATTGAAAACATATTTCACCTGAAAATCTTCACACATGCGTTTATTTTTCTGCTAACATACATGTGTGTGTTTTTGTCAAGACTACGGACAACTGTCGAAAAGCTCCATCAGTTTTAGCTACACAGCCACTGATTACCAAACTAAACCACCACACAAAGCATTTCTTTAAAGCTGCTGAAAAAAAATATCCATTGGGCCAGACTAAAACATACTCCAGCTTAAAACAAAGACAATGTAATGCCTCACAGCTGTGCCACTAATGAGCTGTGACATTCTCTGTTGTGTGATTGTCATAGGACATATGTGACACCACTGTCTCACGTTCACCTCGCCACACATAAGACATGAACCACGGAATTAGATTTTAACAAAGCAGGACAACAGGTCAACGTGTTAGATTTTGGTCTGCACCTCTATGAAACACACTCTGCCCTAGTGAAGCAAAATCATACTTCCTGCCGGATACAGAACTACAATAGGTATTATTCTATGACACAGAGCTTGTCTGCTGGTGTGGGCAAAGGTAGCAACATGACATTTTATGCTTCAATCTACAACTTTACAGAAAAGCTGCAGGAGAAAGCTAAAAATGAGGATCAAAGTACAGCAAAGACGGCACACCTGTGGGAATCTGAAGTGTAAGAACCCTTGGAAAGGGTGCTGCACGCCAGCTTGCAGAGTAAAACAGTAAGGTAAGGTCTGTCTTTGATTAGAAACAGGGCTACAGCAAATGCCAAAAAAACAAAAACAGGAACCAAACCTTGCACTTAGGTCTAAAGTAGCCTCTTGTTAAGACTCTTGCATAAAGACTGACTACCAGACAAGCTGGAAAAAGGAATACCTATTCCCTATAGCTCTCACATAATCCACTGTCATAGGCAGCTGAAAAGAATCACAGGCCTCATATGTAACATCTGTTAACAGTGACAGCCAGTCGTTCTTATTTCTCTCCAAAAATAATCAGCTTTTTATGGTCCATTTGATAGCATCTTTCTTATCTGAACACAGAAAACTCACCAATAAACAGCTAGGCTGCCACCACACATGGCTGACGAGACGTGTGTGATACAAGATTGTGTCCTAGTGTACACTGTACTCACCGACGGACTGTATGGTGTGGCTGGTGAGGTTTAGAGCGCACACGGCGGCTTCGGACCCACAGTCGGTTGATGGTGAAGACTCACAGAGCTTCAGGGTGTATTTTACTCTGTTATCTTGGTCTATAGCCTCCCATTTGTAACTGCAAGACAAGGAGCAAAAGAAATAAAGTGAATAACAACGGGAAAATCCACTTCACATTATGCCTTAGTCCTGCAGTTTGTGGTCAATCTCAGAGCAGAGACTTTTACATTGTGCATGCTGGCCATATTCACATAAAACTTCATAATGGTAAAGACAAGCAGAGTTAAAACAGTTTAATACACTGGCAGCAAGTTTTCACTAGTTATAAGTGATTTTACATGTAAAAATGTCAAACATTTTATTATTTTTTGCTTCTTAAACATGAATGCTTACTGGTTTTCCTTTTAATAAGTGTGAGGTTTGGACTGTGGGTTGGACAAAGGTGTCCCTTTGAGTAACTGTGACGGGAATATGTCACATTTTTCTGCACATTTTCTGAATTTCCTAATTAGGAAAATTAGCACTAGATTAATCCATAATGAAAAAAACAATTAGTTGCAGAAAATGTACTAAAAATGAACTCAATCTCAACCAACTACAACAATGAAAATGCAGTTTACACAATGATGAACAATTAATAATAATTTCATGATGGGTTGTATATTTAGTGTGAAGCCACAGTGGCTGTTTTTCTGTGTTATGTATTTGGAATTTTGGTTCTTTAACTACAACTTCATGATTAAACTTTCACTTTCGTTTCTTTTTTCTACATTTTCACTTGTACTGATGTATTGTTCAGTGTCGTGATGGTACTTTCGCTCTTGTAAAGGCTCTGAATACTGCATGTGAAACTGTAAACCACATCACAGTCAAGATGTTTTTCATTGAACTTCCCTATACAAGAAGCGTCATTACACTTGGATTAAAGTTAGTTGTTAACTCCGTCCCTTTGTAAACAGCCTCCTTTAAAGGTTACTTAAGTGAATATGGCCACAACAAGGAAATAACATGTAGCCAGTCTGAACTTACAGGTTGAGCTTCTTGGTTATCATCGCTGCCTGATTGCTGAGTCAATATTTGAACAGCAGTGCCAGAGCTCCAGTAAAGGACGACAACGCTGTATTTAGACAATACTAAGTGAACTTAACCTCAAAAATTCGTATTGTTATTGAGTCTCGAAAGGCTGATACAGGTACACACTGCCATACCGCCGACCTTTTCAGAAGCTCGTCATTTGACGTTGCTAACATTTAGCGTTAGCCGTTAACGTACATGACAGTTCTGGCACCGTTAGCAGTTAGCTCGGCTACACTTTTAGCCTGATAAAAACAAACCGTCAACTCCTTTGGCGAGACATAATAAGGAGCTTCAGGGTTCAAACAATTCATTCATCCGCTAGCTAGTTGAAACTTACCAAGAAGCACATTTTTCAAACCAGACAACTACTTTTTATGCATATGTTAGCTAAACAACAACTCGGCTAGCTTACACCTTTGAGAGCGATAGAATTGGACAGCAGCGAGAATCTAAAAGTTGATATTGTGACTAAAACAAAGAGCTGGCTGATTGTCTGGGAGCTGATTTTAGCAGGAGCTGAAAGCCAAAGGTCGTGAGATAGCAGGAGAGCATGACTGGAAAAACAACATCCATTGACATATTTCTGAATCGAGTTAGAGTTAGTTTGACAATTTCTTTATACGAGAGGATGAAACGTTGTGGCCTTTAACGGTTTTCTGATGTGTTCGTAGCTGCAGTGTCGGTGCCGGAGGTGTGTTAGTTACCTGCAGAGGTCCTGGTACCGCAGGCTGCTGTCCCCCTCCGCTTCGGACTGGACCAGCAAACATGCCAGACACGCCACGAACCAAAACGCCAGCTTCAGAGGCGCCGAGCCTGTAGATTTATCCCGAAAGAACATGTTTACTGTGTTGAATAACGTCTGTGGAGCCTCACTGAGACGACATGATACAGCAGAGTGGCTCTGCTCCGGACCAAATCAGTAGGAAGTGACTGCACCACATGACAGGACATCACATGACTCCCATTATAGGGACTGAGGAGGCGTTCAAGGGCTGTGGGAAAACCCGGACAGTTTTTTATTTTTTTTATTTTTTCAACCTTTATGTAAACAGAGAGTACACTGAGGTATGGAGGCAGTGTCAGGGAGGGAATGAGGAAATAACAGATGTCGGCACTCAAATACGTAACATGGGTGAAAACGATAAAAATATCAAAAGGCAAAGTGACTAAAATAACTGAAACATTAATTAGTGCTGTATATTCCATGGTACATGAATGCAGCATTTCTCATGTCACATAGCCAGGCTCTTTGAACTGAAGAAAACTTAGCCCTGAAATAAACCTGACAGAGCAACCCTCCTCTAATCCTGCCACCTGCACTGCTGACCTTTGGTAACCTTTACCATCCACAGCATTATACATACATTTATTAGCAGAGACTAGTTAAAGGCAGGCATCATCAGGGGGGAATGCCGTAGCAGGGCCTGAAAGTTACAGCTCAGGGAAAAAAAATTAACATTCTGAATTAAATTGGGGTTCTTTAATTGCTCAGGTGTCATGGTGTGACACCTAGTGGTCAAGCTGGAGCATTACAAAGACTCTCATTTGCATTTCACTGAGAGAAAACACAAGGTGCTCTTCATTACTGGCAGCTGTCTAATCAGTGTAGAAATTTTAGGTTATATTCACAACTGATGTACATTTATGAAGAAATTTGAACTTAATGTCTCACCAAACACTTGTCTTTACATGCAATAATTTACAGAATTTATCCTGAAAATCTCCTAAAGAGTGCTGAGGGTTGTTGAAAAAATATTTCTTGGGCCTTTGATTGGTGGTGACAGTTGATCAGGACAGAAAACAGTGGGGTGACATGCATCAAATGATCCAATGGGAATTCAGGAATTTTGCAATAGTCAACGTTTTACACTTGATCACCAAGTTATTATTTTTATTTTTTCACGTTTCTAAACTGTAATTCCCCTCCAGCAATTTACTGGTATTTGTCTATTTTGCTAAATTACAGATACTAACCAGTAAATCACAGAACAAATATTCCATTTACACGGTATCCCTAAAAAACAGGCCAAAACTGTAAATAACACCCACGTCCAAAATCTGTATTTTTACAAATGAATTCCTTGTTTTACAATGTTTAACTGTAATATTAGATTAGATTATAACTACATCAGCAAATACAATCAGCAAAACAATCACCACTTTATAGATATTTGTTATTATTTTAAAGAAGAAGCATATATAATATATATTTTTTAAATGTAGTCATTTGTTCTTTATTAATGTGTGACCATAAAATCACAACTATTTGCTTTCATTTGAACAGTTTCAGCAGTATCTGAATCTTACAGTATTCCACTTTTTTGTTGTTGTTGTTGTTCTGTTTTTTAAGTATTTTTCTGGCAGCAAGGGTACCAAGGCTTTATTTATTCATTTATTTATTTATTTAAACTTTTTTTCAAGAGTAAAACAGTCAAATTTGGGCTACAAACTGATGCTTCCTAAAAATGTAATAAACCTGCACCCAACATATAAATTCATCAACATGTGGAATCATGGAGGAAAACATGTTTGGCAATTCCGATGAATGGATAACATCCCATACAAGACCTCAGCATCCACAGCACAGCTCCTCTCTGCCCTCTAATGTTCACGCTGAGCTGGACGGTCATCATCACTGGAAGTGATCACACCTGTTCAGAAGCCTGATAGGAAACTGGGCTCTCAGACTCCTGTCACATCCATCAGAGGCTTTACAGCGTCTCTCTTTTATTAAAACGATGCCACCCTGCATTATGTGGCTTCTGGTCTTCATCTGCACGTCAACAGGTACAGAACAAAGCATTCAAGCTACAGACAGTCTGCTAAATAATGACGATTGTTCACTCTTTCCTTTCATGCAGTGGGTGGTGCCCCTCTCAGTCCAACCCAGCTTGCTGCGACTCTTGTCACAGGTTAGTGCTCATTTACGTTTTTTATATCTGCTGCAACATAATGAACATTTTTTTGAGGACTTCCTTTAATTTGCGTAGGCAACGTTACTGTTCCTTCTATGGCTGATGTGCTGCAGCCAGTCTCTACAGAGGCTTTGAAAGGTAAAACTGCTTTGGGTTTCCTAAAATAAAATCTCCCATACATGAAATGACATGGTTATTAGATTTGTTTCTCTCTACCAGCTGGTGCCACTTCTTTAAATGACACCCAGAATGCAACCAGCCCTGCTCCAGGTCAGTGTTTACTGGTTTTTAAGACTTTCTGAGGTTTTTTGTTTGATTAAACACGTAGACTTTCACAGGTACACCAGCTTCAGTGCTTGATCCACCTGAGACAGACAGTGCAGAAACCTTAGAAGGTAAAATTAAAGAATTTTATTAATTCAAGAAAATAATTCTTTTCATAAATACAAGGTGAAGTGACTGCTTTTAATTCTTTGTCATAGAGCTTCAAGGAGATCTGACGATCCAAGAGGGAGACATTTTGCTTCCAGTACGATACAGAACTTTATTTCTCTGCTCCTCTGGAAGAAAGATGCAGTTTCAGGAAAACATAAATATCTTCAACATAATACATAGTTTATAATTAAAGTGATTTGTGACCGAGAAATGTCATGAATGTTGAAACACCTACAGAGTTGTTGTATGTCAAACAGGTGTATTAATCCTAAATGTTCTGTGAAACCTACAGGAGGACAGGAACGCTGTGAAGACCCTGTGGTCGGACGCCACCGTCCATTACGTCATCAGTAATGAACTGGGTGGGTTGCTGTGACTCAAACCAGGCTGCAAGTCTGACCACTACAGTGTAGACGACAAAACAACGTCTCTGTTTGCACTTGAACAGCTCATCGAGAGTCAGACATCTACGCCGCTTTCAAGATGATAACAGATGCCACGTGTATCCGCTTCCAGAAACACACCAACCAGCTGAACTACCTGATAATACGGGATGGCAACGGGTGAGAGATGTCCCTTATCTCTGTGGCATCTGTCCACGAAGAATGTTTTGGGTTTTATTTGCAAAATAATCAAGTAGTTTTCAAAATGTAGTTTAAATCCACAAGCAGCAGCAAATGATTAGATTTTCTACTAAAACTAACTTCAGTAATGTGAGATAAAATAATCTGACAAAGACAATTCAAATAAAATTAGAAAGTTTAGAAAGAGATGAGCGTCCCTGGGTTTGATGCTCCACTGCTGCAGTCTGATAGATACATTACTTAGCAGGCCTACTGACACAGGGGACGTAGCCCAGAATTATAGACAGAGGCATAAAATCAACCAAAATGAAATGGAAAATGATCTCAACAAGAAATAGAATCCTCTAAAGCAGTGGTTCCCAAACTGGGGTTCAGGACCCCTGTGGGGGTCCCAAGATAATTTCAGGGGGTCACCAGATCATTGTAAAAATAATTAAAGCCTACATTTCTCAAATAAATTTGTATTAAGGCTGTCAAAATTCAGGGTGTATAGTTTGTCCCACTCCTTTTTTTGGACTTGTTAATATTCTGATTTGATGATGGAATATTATTATTCTTTTTTGCTCTTTTTCAAATTATTTTCTTTTGCTTTTATATTTTTTTCCCTTTCATTTGAAAATTAACATGTGAATGTAAAGAGATTCATCTGTGGAATTAACACATTAATTTTTAACACATTTTAATTTGGCATGAACAATAAAGTTATTACTCATGCCAAATTAAAAATTCAAATTGGGGGGGGTCACGAACACAAATTTATTTTATCTTGGGGGTCATGGCTCAGAAAGTTTGAGAACCACTGCTCAAAAGAAATGCTTTTTTTTTTTTTTTGTTGCAGTCCTCCAAAAAAGCAAACAAAAACCAAACACTAAATTACCAAATCAATCAATCAATCAATCAACCAATCCCCAGATACATAAAGTGATGTAAAATTTACCACAAACAAAGACAAGTTAATAATACAAGACACAAAGGGATACAAGACCGAAATGGGAAACTAAATGACCAAGACTAAATGCAAACAATCACCAAGAGACGTAAAATATGAAAGGAAATTAACAAAACGGGGATTAGAAGTAACCACAAAAAGACGAAAATTACCACAAAGAAAGATGGAATTAATGAGACAGAATGACAACAGTGACCAAAGTGATGGGGGGACACACAACATACACAAAAGATGGAGGTACCACAACAAGTCACATGTGTGGCTTTCAGACTGGGTGTCTAGCTCCTATGTGGCATCACATATCTGTGCCCAGGGCTCCACTGTCTCATGGTCCATCCATACCCATGGTAATATATGCAAACACGGAGGATTAAAGATCTGATGACGTTGGAAGTATATTCAGGAGTTTATGAAAAGAGCCTTACATGTAGTCAAAGAATAAAATCAATTTTGAAAAAGCACCTCAATAAGAAACAGGTGTAGTACATTGTTTTGGCTGTTGTTATAAGTCTTCTGTCTGATACTTTATATTATTAAATCCTTGATATGACTGAATGTTCGCCTCACTGTCTTTGCTGTCTAGCTGTGCATCGTACGTCGGCTGCCAAGGAGGAGCCCAGTCGGTGTTTTACGGCTCGAAATGCAGGGTGGGGAACCTTTGTCATGAGATCATCCACGCTCTGGGACTGCATCATGAACACACCCGTACAGACCGCGATCGATATGTCACCGTGAACTGGGAGAGCATCCAGCCAAGTAAACGAGATTTTGATCAAAATGAACTATGACTGTGTCCAAAGTGCTCGCACAAGACACATTATTCATTTGGTATGCTTTCTAATTCAAAGAGAGAAAGAAGAACTTCAAGGTGAAACACGGAGACACTCTAAACCTGCCGTATGATCTCGGCTCCATAATGCACTATGGGCAGTAAGTTCCACATTTATTCAGATTAGATTATAGCTTTATACTTTAGGGAATAATACGCAACACTGAGCCAGTGATCAGCTTGATTTCCTTCGTTGCTGTTGCAGGTATTTTTTCAGCAAAGATGGACGTCCGACTGTGTTGTCCAAACAGAGCGGAGTGAAGATGGGTCAGAGAAGCCACCTCAGCCAGCTGGACGTACAGAGACTGAACAAACTCTACCACTGTGGTAAAAACCTCTGAACTACTGCTTGTCACCTGCATCCATCACTTGACTCTGTTTTGATATTCGTAGCAGTCAAATAATAAAATAGAAACATTCAAAACCCCATAAATATGCACCAACAGGCAGCGTGGTGTGAGCTCTAGCAGTCCCAAAGCTTTCCAGCAACACTAACGGAACATTTCTTCTTTCAGATGAGCGGACGAAATGGAAAAACACGATCGGTTAGCTGGCATTTGTTAGTGAGATTTAATAAAAAGACAAAAAAATCTTTGAGTTTGTTCTGTCTTTCTTTTCCCACTGAGACAGGACATGATGTGTGGGACATTCTGGTTGGAAGCTTACTTGGATCTCAGGTATTGGATAAAGCAGATTGGATTTTGGAGCATCTTGCTGCATAAATTCACATGAACACAATCCTCCAGAAACACATCAAACTCCTTCACACCTTAAAACTGAGGTAGGCTGTATTTTTTGGCATCACTGCTTTCAGCATATGCGACACCTCCTCTTTCCATTTTCAGCCTTTAGAAAATCTAACGTGAGGCAGGAGATCTTGGTGAATTTAATATCTTCGTCACCCAGAGCAGGTTGTTCGAGATGAACTTCACCTCGAGCAGGGGGCAGCAGGAGGGGACGGAGTTAAAAGCTGGAAGGATATACGACAAACATACAGTCTATGGTCAAGATGGAGAGTTTCAGCAGCTTTTGGTCTGTACAGGAACTTACACAAACACACCACTTCATAAAAAATATACACAGATGAATATATGAGCTTGTCTTCAGTCTCCAAAAATTTTTATTATGCCGCCGCCGCCCCTTTCTGTCATCTCTGTTTATGGTTTACTTTTCATTTTACATGAATTCACATGTAAATTGACATCAGATCATTTTGCTGCTGCACATAAATCAGGTGACCAAACATGTCAATTTGAAAACACTGATAGTCAAAAACAATAGAATGAATGAATGCAGGACAGCCCCTTTATTATTGATCCATCAGTGGAATTACTTTAACTTTACTTTAAAATCAGACCAATACAATTCACATCCCCATAAATCAGCTAAACGGATAAATTTCTATAAAACGTACATATTGTTGGGTTCGTATCGAAACGGATCAGCTGTCAGATCAGGTGAGAGCCAGACATTTCCCATCATCCTTTGAGGTCATGCAGTCGCTGGAAAGCAACTGTGGCATCAGGCTCCAAAAACCAGATCTCACGTTTCAGATCTTCACGACTTCACATCAGGAACAAGTTGGACAGAAATCTAACGAGCATGCAATGTGCAGTGGATGCCAGTGTCGGAATATGTGCAGGTCTAGCCCATCTTGAATTAGTCTAGTATCAGGGACAAGTCCAAGGTGGAAGTGGGATGTGGTGGTTTAGCTTTAGCAAACTGATAACAAATACTTGATATGAGAAAAATGACAACTTTGATTAATGCTCAGCTAGAGAGAACTACTTTTTCTTGTGAAGAGAAATACGTAGCAGAAGTACTTACCCTACAGGTATCCATATGGAGTACATGATAAACTGGTATATTTGCATATTAAAGTCCCTCTCTGGTTGTTGATTAAACCCCCAAGAACTCAGCAGTCACTTTTACCCCTACACAGTCAGATACAAAACTGTTGTACTTTCATGACGCCTAGAATGTTCAGTTTTCTGGTGTTAATTCCTGGAAACACCTCTCAACATAAAGTAGTCATTCAAAGATAAACATATGATCCAATTTTCGAAATTTCAGACAAAGTTAGCAACATTTTAAACTTCATAAAGGTCATGGCAGGGCTGTTAGGTTGCAATAGTCAGCGCGGACATAACTAAGAAAGTGGCCACTGAGTGTATGTTAAGCTTAGTAGGTAATATCCATCCATCCATCCATTATCTATACACCGCTTAATCCTCACTAGGGTCATGGGGGGCTGGAGTCTATCTCAGCTGACTTAGGATGAAGGCAGGGGACACCCTGGACAGGTCACCAGTCTATCACAGGGCTACACTTAGAGACAGACAACCAAGCACACTCACATTCACACCTACAGATAATTTAGAATCACCAATTAACCTCAACTTGTTTTTGGACTGTGTGGGAGGAAGCTGGAGAACCCGGAGAGAAGCCACGCTACACGGGGAGAACATGCAAACTCCTCGCAGAAAGATCCTGGTGTCCTCACTGGGACGTGAACCAGCGACCTTCTAGCTGCGAGGCAATGATGCTAACCAACTGCTTCACCTAGTGTAATATTCAACACTAAAATATACAGACATTTTTGAACCTTGGGCATATTCCACCACACATTTACTGCTGTGCATCTCTTGTCAGTGCATTAACCCCTATGACAACAGCAGGCTACAACAATAATGCAGAGCTAACAATATACAATAGATGGCTCCTGTGCACAAACCTGTCTGACAGTATTTTCCTGTTAGTGTCGACTTCGGTCAGTAGGAGGAGCTGATACAACAGACGGCCTCTAAACACTGATGCAGCAGGAAAGACTCTCATCACCATTTGCCCTTCACTCACCTCACACTGAGAAGACTTGAGGTTAGAGTGCATTCAACTCAAAGGTAAGAGCATTGTTTGTATATTAACATTTAATTAAGAATTTGGGAGTTTCAGGCTCACATATTCCTCCTTTTCAGTGTGAATACAACTCTAATATTACATTTTAAGCATCTTATCATTCATTTTAGTACATTATTTCTTGCATTTCTTTATTTTAGTGCAAACTTTCGTGAGGAAATACCTGCATTTGTGACTACTACTAAAGTTTGTGTGCATTTATTAATCTTTGTTAGTCTGACACGTAACACTTCTTTCAGCTGTGAATGCTTTAAATGTGATTAGGTATCCATTAACGAAGCTGAGGCTTGAGTCTGATCCTTCTTTCTAGACAAAGTGTCAGGTTTGTTAGGGCTTCTAAGATTTACCGTGTAAATGCTTCGGCTGACACACAAACAAGGTGAGACGAGCCAGGGGATAAACTGGTAAAGTGTGTACATATAAAAGCAGAATGCAGCTCAACACTACTGCTTGTGGAACCATCCGGAGTGAAGTGGATATCTTGAGAGGAGGTGGATGGATTTAACTCTACCTGACCCAGAGAATGCTCGTATGTTAACATGTTTAATACTTACAGCCTCAATGATCAACGTTCTTGTGTTTTATTTTCTTTTTTTTCCAATTCTACGTGAAATTTGTTAGCCATAAATCTGATAGTTTGACACTTGTTAACATCACAATATAAATCTAAAGTATTTAGGAATTAATATAACCAGTGTGTCACTATTAACCCCTTAAGTCCTGGGCTAGTTTTGGAAACATCCTCAGACTAAGCTACACAACTACAAGGCTAACATAAAACATGTTTATGGACACTTGGGACAACTGACTCTCTGTCCCCATCACCAGGCCAGTATGAGATCTGAAAAACTCCACGCTTCAGCATTCTTATAACAATGAGTCACTATCACTGATGTTACTGAACCTGTTCTCGATATTCTTAACTGCAGCTCTACAAACATGAAGCAGAACAATGCTGCACTTATTGTAGTTCCGGCACGACAAAGTGGCCCCTTCAGCGAAAGCGTCGTGTTCGATAATCCTCTTAAAATGGCGGCAAGGTGTGTTTTAACGACAGAGGCGGCCTGGCCCCTACATAAATAAACACATAATTAAAAGCAGCATGCTCTGGTATCATTAATCCACATTTCTCATCTCTGTATCTTCTGTGTCTGTAGTTTATGATGCTGCATGGCTGCATCCCTGGTGTTCAGACTGCATGACAGAGGCCCAGAGCTGGTGAGGGAGGTGCTTCTGGAGCGAGGATGGGAGGAATACGATGAAGGAGAGCGCGAGGAGGAAGATTGGAACCTCTACTGGCGGGGCTCTGCATTTCGCACCTCAGAATATCACAACCTACTGCCATGGCAACGCCTAAACCACCACCCCAAAACTATTGGCATCACACGGAAGGTGATGGTCTGGCATGTTGCCTTCAAGTAATACAGAGTTTTTGCACTAGAATCATCCATATGTCTGTACTTTCGACGACAATTCGCCTGCAATCAAGTGCATCAGTTTGACCCCTGACCTCTGAAACACGATCTCACCACAAAGCTCAGTTCGTCCACATTTATTTCTGAATCAGATGTTTTTTTACATTTGCTCTAGCAACTGTGTACCAAGGAAAACACCTGCAGCAACACTCCTTGTCTGTGATATAGGAGCTGACAGCAAATTCTCTGGTGTAACAAGAACGTGTGAACTCGGCAGCAAAACCACACGACACCCTCCCCAGGTGTTAATAACGTTGCCTTGACAACAATGTCAGCAATAGGGAAAAAAGCGACATTAAAACCACATTAGACTGGAGAAAGAAATGCTGTGAATAATCTGCAGCAACATGGTATTCAACATTGCAGAATCTGGTGGAAGCTGCCAGTAGCTTTGATGATTTATCATCATTTAAAGTCGAACAATCTTTCCTGTTTGCTTTGATAAACGGTTTCATTTTGGTGATTTTTTGGAAAGCTGAAACCTGCTGGTGGGTTTTGGGGTTCAGAGGGCTAGGAAGCAGTCTGTAATTGGGTAATTGTCTGGCAGGTGTAAATGCTCTGAGAGTGTACTGGAAGTTTTCTGGCTCACCTTGTGATCAGATCTCAGCGAGGTGTAAATGCAATCCTCACAGCACAACAAAACCTACCCGTCCCGTTAAGCCACCACGCATTTCCACCTATTCCAGCCTCGCCAGATTTACGTATTGAGATCTGATCACAGTGTGACAAGATAAAGAGCATGCAGATCACAGGCTACTAGCAGGTCACCAAATATATTGCTCAAAATGACTAGAAAGAGAGTTCAGTTAAAGAACTCAGACACTAAAAGATTATGTTATTCTCTGGAAGGACTGCCTGGCACGCAACCTGAGGAGAATGAAAGCAGCATTGGGTTCATCTCTCTATGACTTCAGTCCCACCGTCTTCATCCTCCCCAACGACTACACCCGCTTCCTGGCCGAGTACAACAAACTGCGTCTGGTGAGAGGACCGTACTGGATATGTAAACCCGTGGATCTCTCCAGAGGCAGAGGGATCTTCATCTTCGAGGACATTAGGGACTTGGCCTACGACTGCTCTGTCATCGTGCAGAGGTACATTAGCAACCCTTTGCTGATCTCGGGTTACAAGTTTGATCTGAGGATCTACGTGTGCGTCAAGAGCTTTCATCCACTGACTGTTTACATTCACCAAGAAGGCCTGGTGCGTTTCTCCACTGAGAAATACAACCTGTCGTCTCTGCACAACTTGTACGCTCACCTCACCAACACCAGCATCAATAAGTTTGGGCCGTTCTACAGAACCGACAAGGGGAAGGTGGGGCAGGGATGCAAGTGGACCATGAGCAAGTTCAGACACTTTCTCCACAGCCTAGACATCAACGAGCTTCTTTTGTGGCAGAGGATCAGCAACATCGTCACTCTGACCCTCCTCACCATCGCTCCGTCCGTCCCCTCGTGTCCGAACTGTGTGGAGCTGTTTGGATTTGATATCCTCATTGATGCCAAGTTTAAACCCTGGCTGCTAGAAGTCAACTACAGCCCTGCGCTGACTCTGGACTGCCAAGCGGACATTACAGTGAAGAAAGGGCTAATCGGTGATCTGATCGATTTGATGAACTACACGGCAATTGACGGCTTAAGAGAGAGAGCTTATCAGAAACATCGGTACAAGCAACCTTGTTTCAACACTAACCACGCCTCACATATTTCTATACCTGTGATTTCCCAGTTAAAAGAGCCCAAACTTCAGAGGAAGAGGAGAGGTAGCAAAGCCCAACAAACTCAGACACTTCCTCTGCTAAAACCTCTTCGCCAGTCGGAAAAGACGAACAAAAGACAGTCTAGACGACATGCCGACTACCAAAGGCACCTTCCCCCTGTTGAGTTGGACAACATATACGCAGTCCGGGGTAGAGTGATTAACACTCCAAAGACCCACACCGACCAGACCCTGAACCTGATACTCGGCCCACATTCAAGGACAAACGTGTCAGCGGTAAACAGGCAGACGCGTCCAGCTCTTGCATCGAACCTGACACACAACAGGAGTCTTCACGTGTCTGAGGTTACAAACCATGACAACACTGAAACAGAAGCTGAGATCTCAGGAGAAGCAGACGCTTCCTCTTCGATACCTGACACCCAGCAGAGGAGGCTGGGACTCAGACGCTCTGCTGTGGCCTGGAAGCTCCCAAACATTTACAGGTACTTACACAACGGGCTTCAGCAAGTCACACACACAAAAAAAAAAGGATAATATTTGCACAAAATTTACAGACCTATATTTACAGACAGGCTTGAATTGATCATCATGTCTGTGATTATCAGTGGACTGAAATATTCACTGAGCGCATTCTTAAAGCGAGCCTCTGCAACTTAAGCTGAACAGCAACCTGATGTGTCCAAGTAATTACGGGATAATTGTAATTGCTAAAATGGAGTGGGACAGTAACACAAGCCGAAGAAGGTTTTGAGCTGATTTAGTGAAGTAAATTACTGACTTCACTCACTTTAGCCACACTGTAAAAACAACAAAACAAAACAAAAACAACAACCAGAAGTGAAAATTTGGCAAAATTCTGCAAAAAATATGTTGAAAGAAAGAAAGACAGAAAGAAAGACAGAAAAACTGTGAAAGTAACTGCAAGTGTCTGTAAAATAATATTTTTAGCTGATTTAATTACAGTAAAATATTGTAATTTCACAATCACACAGTAAGAGAAGGCAATGCTGTGTGTAATAATTAGATGTGGACATTATGCACAGTTCTAGCTGTTTTGTTTTATAGTCAACACAAGTTTTTAAAAAACACACAAATATAGATTAAGACTTTTCTAAACATTTTCTTTATACAGTGTATAACAAAGTAGTCAAACTGATTAATTTGTCTTTGCTAGACATTTTAACAAATACCTGAACAGTTACATTATAATCCGATGTAGGGCATAGCGGATCTAACTGCGTTAGTTCTCCAGCACAACTCAGCTGATCAGCAGCAGTCTGAGATAGTATGAGATAAAGTCCAGTATTTCACAGTGGAGACTAGTAACAAAACACGTTACAGATTGCATTAGCTGGCTGCAATTATGCATTGAATCTCCTTCCAGATCAACAGGATCTGGTTTTGTGATTCAAGATAAATGCAAAGGCTCTTTAACTGAGTTTACTACGGCCATAAATAACAACGGGAAACAAAATGTACGTGACTTGAAAAAACTAGAAAAGAGCAACACAGAAATACAAACATCAACTTTGCTCATATTAGTCAACATATGCTACTGGTCATACTCGACCAAGTTATTTTGTAGTGCTAAAACACCTCAGTGTATTGAATCAAGCTTTTCCCACAGTTCTTTTCCCACTTCAATGACTGTGCTTAGTTCATAAATTGTTACATCAGTCAAAAGACGCATCAAATATAACACAGAAATGATGAGACTGTTATGAGTTACATATATGCACACAAACAAAAGATGGACAGAGTGACTATGACCTCAACTATTGGTTTGTGGACTATCGTTCTGAAGCCTCAAGTTTAGTCATCGCCATCGAGCTCTTCTGAAACAAACATGAACATCATGCTGTATTTAAAGAGGTTTGAAACTAATGATTGTGACCATAAACCTATTAGACAAGTGGTGACGGAGGTAACTAGTCACATGAGAAGTTCTATACAATCACACACAACCAGAAGACTCGCCTCCTGTTGGGTGTCAGAAACAATGCAGTTTTATGGCACTTCTGTGTTGTCTTCACTTTTCAGACCAGGAGGCTGTGGTCTGTTATTGTTTTATTGTATTTAGTTAAAAAAAAAGAAAAAAAAAGTATTATCATCAATTCTTTTGTACAGTGCAGGTGCATAATGTCATTATAATATAAAACCTTTAGTTTCTTGTGATGTGCATGTTGATAACGAAGCTTTTCTGCATTTTTAAAACTACATTTTATGGCTTGAAATTCATCAAACTGATTGACTGTGATTGGTTCACAGTGGGAGTCAAAGGCCAGTAAGGATCCCTGTGGAAGAAAACACAGCGCTGAATGGACAACACATTCCTCCGCTCAGGGTCGGTGACTTCATACGGACATTCCCATTCAACAGAGCCACTCTGAAAGCCTCACAACATAAACTAGACGTCACAGCAATCATACAGGAGCTTCACAAACTGACTGGACAGCTGGCTTTAGGCCGTTTGGACAAGACAAAGAGGAGGAGAGAGGAAGAGGTGAAGAAGAACACGGAGGGTGAAGATGACTTTGATTCACTGTTGTGGGGGCCAAAAGATCCTCCACTGCTCATAGAACTCATAGAAAATAGACAAAAAATCAAGGAATAGACAAAATTTGAGAAAAAACAAATTAAATGTTCACAGTTTGATTGTTAAAGCAAATATATGTGTAGACTTGAGGTGTTTTAGTCAAGCGAAACTTCTTTATCTTGGAGATTAGGTGTTGAGCTCTGACATGTTTGTCTTTCTAAGGTAACACATCATTTTCATACTTGGAGGATTTTTCCACAGTAAAGCAGTCATACTGAATCACTGTTCTGCACTATTAATCATAAGTTGTTTTTGTATAGATAAGGTGAGCGCTACTTCCAAAAAACCAAGTAAATTCCCGTAATTGAAGACAACCATTTTCCTGGGAGGAGTGAGGAGGATAAGCGTTTACTGTCAAAGTGACGCCTGTCTGATCTGATCATCCACGATTACGTTTGCAGGCTTGCTGATTTACATGCTACATGCCTACATCCAGTCGAACACACAGCGCTTTCTGTCCCACTCATACTACGTGTGAACACGCACATTCATTCAGGTTGTGAGACAGTGACTCCTTTCATTTTTCTGACGTGCACTCGGCCCGATGCATACTTGGTTTCCTGTTGCCCGCTGGGGTAGATGGTCTTAACTGTCCCGTCAGGATACTCTCTCCTCTTAGACTGGGAGGTGTGGACTTCTCTCTGGCCATTGGGGAAATCAACCATCTTCTCACCTGACCTGGAGGACACAACATATGTAGAAATAAATCACTTATTACCATGCAGTTGTCAATACTAGATTAAAATGTGGATAAAGAATAATGGTAATGTTCCTTTTGCTGAGTTGTCCCCTCCAGTGGCTCATTAACTGTGAGACTATGAACTGACCACATACTTTCCATTATTTTAAAAATGGTTGTCCTCATAAATCTGCTCAAAAATATCTTTAAAAACTCCATAGTATCAAAATAACCATAAAATATTACAAACTTCAGCATCCCTTAATGGTACCAGTTTGCCAAAATGTTAAATGAATTAATAGAAAAGCAATTTCACAAAAATGCGACTGGCTTTAGGGACAGTATTGGCTGGTCTTTCTTTAATTAGGTCCAGTGGTGTTAACACAAGATCATCCAGGCATATTAGCCTTTAACTAAGCACTAAAAATGTACATTTAATAAACTGTCATACAATGTATACAAATTAAAGCTACTTGAGTCAATATAGAATATCAACTTTCACCCGTATGCTGAGGTTTTAATATTAAAATTAAATTACGTCAGTCTGTTCTCCTATTGGTGACCACATGCTGCACTGACAATGTTTATTTATTCATAAGGATACCTGTTAGCAGCCACCCTAATGACTGCTTGTCTTCCTGGATTCCACTGGCATTCTGACTGTACAGCCTGAAATACTGTAATGACTTCAGTCTTACGGCGAAAGGTAAACGACGGTGCCATCAGGGAAGATTGTCTCCTCGCTGCCGTCAGGCTCCAAATACTTGATGGTCTGGTCTGGAAATAAGATCTCTCTCTTCCCCCCAGGGTGTCGCTTCTCTGTTACATATTATGAAAGAAACACTACACTGTGAGCTGTCGTCCTTCAAGTATGTACAAATTTTCCATTTTCTGTTACAGATTACCAACATCCAACAGCAACAAATTAGGTGTAAATGTATAGGTTCCTTTGTTAGTATGTCACCAGATGACTGGATCGACAGTCGTGACTCGATAATCCGACACTAAATGTAAAACCTTCTTTTATGTCGGATAGCAAGGCTGTCGGATTGTCAAGACGGAGGTCGAGATACAAGGAGGGCTTGATGCTGGAAGGGTCATTTGTTGTTAATATTTATTGTTTATATGTTATAATAACTAGTGTATTGTTAGAGCACGACGCATCGCTGGATTTCACACCTAACTGACCGGTGTGCTGGTGTACGGGCCCCTCAGTTGACATCAAAGGTAAGTCCGTTCAGACAGACAGCAGGCTGAAGTGCCCCAAATCGGATTATTTTTTCTCCTATGCGACCTGTATCTGGTCTTTTAATGACAGTCTGAACAACAGAGATCCAATAAATGATGAATATCCGAATATTCGGTCAGAGGGACCACTTCCACCCCGGTGGAGCGCTCTGATGGGGTGGAAGCGGCCAGAACGCACAGGTAGTACTTGGCTGCTGATGCCAGTTTAGCTAACATGGTTCTGTTTCCACCATCGGTGGCGGCAGCGTAGGAGTGGCAGATAAGCTCCACCGTTACCATCCATGTTTACTTCTGTAAAGACTGAGGACACGCTCGCTGTGTGTGACGTCGTGTCCTCTTCTGCACATGCGGGACACTTTTGGATCATATGAAGTTCACACAGCAGATCACATACAAGTCGTATTTAATTGGAAATGTGAACGAACTCGCAAAAAAAATCGTATTTCACAAAAAAAAATCTGAATTAAGCATTAAGTCTGAACAGAGCCAATCTGTGGGATTGTTCAGTCAGATAATACACTGTTATCTTTATTTGTGACATAAAATGTCATGTCGGAGTCAGAATCCAAGGCTGTCGGTGTGTTAAGGCTATTAAGGTTATTATAAGGTTTATAAGGTTTTCGGACTGTTAAGGGTCAGATTATTGAGTCACGACTGTAGTTTGTTTGAATATTCAACTCAGGTATGAATTAAGATATGTGTAAATTTCAGAACTTATTCGTGCCAAATGTTCTAAATAATTCTGGGAAAAGAATTATTTAATTTTAATAAACAAAAAAATATTGGTTGAAATCTACAATAATGATTGTTGAATGATTGCCAGTTGATGATGAGGGGGCTGGACTATGCACATTTTTACTCAATAACTATAACCTGTTTTTAAACACTGGATGAAACTCTTAGTGGCTTGTAAAGCTGGGAGGACATCTGGTTGTGGAAGGATCTTGAGAAATGGTACCAGTAAGCAACTTTCTATTTTCTTAGCTTTTATATTGCACCTCCAAGGTTATAAAACATATGACAATATATATTATGTAAAATTCAAACGCTGAAAGTCCTCTCATAGAAATACATTTGTCCATTCAGATGCTTGTGTCCCTTACCAATCTGCTTGTTGGCGAAGTGAAGCACCTCCAGACCACTTGGGTAAGTGGTTTGTGTCGTCTTTGAGCCAGCATAGTGATAAACCTGTAACATACATGCACATGACCTTAGTGACTGAAAGGAAAAATAACAATTATATTGTCACAGCTTGACAAGTTTTGTCAGGTCAATGCCAACAACAAAAACAAAATAGGATTTAAGGATTGTTAAAGTTCTGCTGTCAATGGTTTCTGTTAAAAAAGCAACAACGGCAGAGACAGCGCTCACCACTTTCCCATCTTCCAAAATGTGTTTGATGTCCCCATTGAGGAACGTGACCGTTTTTGTCTTCTGGTCTGCAGAAATTACTTTTTTTGTCATGTTAGTCTCCGTCCCCACATGACACCTATCAGATGGAAGTGACTGCAAAAAGAAATCATGGTCAGTACAACACATATGGCACAACATTACATTGACAGCATGATGCAAAGTTTTCTAGATCGAGATATGGCTTAATTTCTACAAGCAACATTAGCAGGTAACCCTGCATTTTGATTTGAAGAGTTTTTGATTAAGTTTATTGCACATGTGCAGTTGAAATCAGAAGTTTATATACACTGTATAAAAAGACACATAACCTTTTTTTTTCTCTCTCACTATCTGACATTAAATGTGAATAAACTCTTTCTGTTTCAGGTCAGCTAGGATTATCAAAATTATTTCTATTTGCTTAATGCCAGAATAATGAGAGAATAAGACAGAAGTTTACATACATTTTGTTAGTATTTGGTAGCATTGCCTTTAAACTGTATGACTTGGGTCAAATGTTTTGGGTTTCCTTCCACAAGCTTCTCACAATAGTTTACTCGAATTCTGGCTCATTCCTCCTGACAGAACTGGTGGAACAGAGTCAGGTTTGTTGGCCGCCTTGCTCCACACGCCTTTGCAATATTTCCACATAATGTTCTTTCCTCATGATGTCATCTATTTTGTGAAGCGCACTAGTTCCTCCTGGAGCAAAACACTCCCACAACATGATGCTGCCACCCCCGTACTTCACAGTTGGGATGGTGTTCCCAGGCTTCCAAGCTTCCTCCTTTTTCCTCTAAATGTAACGATGCTCATTATGACCAAACACTTCAATTTTCGTTGCATCAGACCACAGAACATGCTTCCAAAAATTAAAGTCTTTGTCCTTGTGTGTATTTGTAATCCACAGGTATGCCTCCAATTAATGCAAATATTGTTAATTAACCTATCAAAACCTTCCAAAGCCATGGCATCATCTGGGCTTTCCCAAATGTTAACTTCTGACTTTGAAGAAAGTAATAACAAATTCTCTAAAAAAAATCTCTCTCATTATTCTCGCATTTAGCAAATAGAAATAATTTTGTAATCCTAACTGACCCAAAACATAAAATATTTAGTCTGATTTAATGTCAGACAGTGAAGAAAAAAAAGGTTGTATGTCTTTTTATACAGTGCATGTAAACTTCTGGTTTCAACTGTATGTGTGTGTGTTGTCATTAATATACTACAACGCTCACACATTCGTTTGAAATTCAGTTTATTGCTCCACATTTAAATAGAAAAAAATGTTTTGTGCCGAAAAACCCCTGAAAGTTACATTTATTTATGTTTTAAAGATGTATTTTGTGTTTTTGATTTTGCTATATGTGAGTGACCCTTTAGGTCTGGAGGGTAAAATCAGGTGTGGGCAGTGACAGAAGTAACGTAGGAAACATATCGACTTGCACTGCATAAACATGTAATGAGGTCAGTCAGTGCTTTGACACCATCTTTTGTCCATCCTCATAAATTATTGCCAGGGTGCTTAAAGAGCACTTAACAGTGTATTATACACTTGAATAATTTGATACCAACAAGATTTACTCATCAGAGACAAAGGTGACCTCTAGAATTTCTGTACAATACAAATACATACTATATCATAGCATTTACAGTCGACAAGTGGAAAGGCAGACATTAATGCATTCATATACTGCAACATCACTGGTGGAAATGCAGCTGATTTTACTGCATTTCCTGTGTCTTATAGCATCTTAGGGCTACACCTCTCAAAATAATTAATATTAATTCATGTCACTCTGAGCATTTAGTCAAAGTAACTTAATACCTTCCAGTTCTCTCTAATGTGGTTTTCATCCTTTACTGGTTGCCCTCTCTAGTATTCCTCTCTTCATCAGAGAACGTCAACTCAGAGCCAGCGGAGGGCAGCACGGCTTGATTGACTTCCATCAGCTAATGAAGTTACAGCAGGAAACGGCAGAACATTTCAACTGAGACCATCCCTGCCTTTGTTGTGTACATGACTGCTTAAAAGGCACAAAGTGATCAGTACTACCCAAACCACAAGAGTCGTGCTTTTGCTAATAGCTGATTGAAAACAAATTGAATTATCCGTGTAATGCAAAATACAGTTTGTCTTATTGGCTTACCAGTGTTTCCTCAATTTTCCACCCAGCAAATATTGATTTTTCGGGCTTGGATTGCAAGTAATAAAAACCAGCCTCAATAGGTTCACGAAACAATGTGCAAGGACCACAGATTTGTTCTTATGTGGCATGAAAGAGCTATTTAAGAATTTATGGTATTGATCAATTTTCTCATACTTTTCTCTTTGCTACTAAAATCATTTAGACGTGTTCCGGACCTGATCGATGTTGACGGTTTTCCTCTCCATACAGAAACAAAGCACTCCACTGACCTTTCACTGACCTTCAATCATCACGCCATAATCTGCATGCTTTATAAATATCATAAAGAAATAAACAAAAATATAGAACTAAGACAAGCTGCATACAATGGTAATATTGTGTGCACCAGACATTTTGCCATATCACTGGCATTTATTTGGCACATTTTAGTAGCACAGCAACCCTATCTGATGTCTAACATCAGTTAACATAGACTGTAATTGTCAATCAATAAAAGTCTGTTTTTTTACTTTGATCCTGTTAAAGTTGATATGTTTTCGTTTTCTGGCATCCAAAACAGAACGTGATGCATTGTGGTGTGAAACTCTCCTTCTTACTCTCTGGTAACATGTTTGGTACTGAAAGTGCTCACAGTGTAATGGAACAGGACAGGTAACCTTATATGGCAACATTGGGGGTGTTATGCTGGTCATGCTAATAATCAAATCCCACAAATGTGCACCTCGTCATGAACAGGTGGCTCTCATCAGGCTTAAAGTAGGGATTTAGAAGAAAATGTTCAGCAAAGAGAGTGAAACTGACTTGGAACACTTCTATGAGTGAAACCTCAAAGAAAGCAAAACAAGTAAATTGAGCACATGAGTCGCAAAATGTTTAGCAGGTTTAAAAGATGTGATAGAAGCAAAACCCACCCAGAACCTTCCTGAGGCTCAGAGCGTTAAGGAAGACACTCGTACAATTGAATGTATACGGATAAATTACTAATTTTAAAAAGAAAAATTAAAAAAAAAACATTGAAAGCACATTTGTTAAATAAAATGAATTTCAAAAACTCTGATTGCTTTTATTACAGTGAATCTGTTTAACTACGCATCATAAAAATGTTACATTTTTCTGTTTCCTGGTTCCCTCACAAAATTCAGTTTGTAAGTGCTGCGGTGTCACGTTAAAGACACCAACCACAAAACAACAACAGCACTTCCTAATTTACCAGTTTTGTAGGGTTAAAGGTGCTTGCTGTTATGGTAGTTCATGAGTGACTTATTTCAAGTGCAAACAAACTGTAGATGCCGGCATTCACGCGCTGCTCGTTACATGTGGACCGATGTGTTAATTCAGGATAACAGGATGCTAGAAAACTGCTCTGACAGTTAATAAGAACAACGTTTCAAACAACACTTCAGACAAAATTCATTCAGTGTGTTTCACCTCTGTGTGTCCATCATGGTGCGCAGCAGGCGTTGGTGCAGTACATCTGCCGGCCACCGGGCAGCACTGTGGCATAACTGAGAGCTTCCTCCTCAGGTCACAGTTTTCTCTCATGAGTTCTTCCAGCTGGCATTGAACTACAAACCAATTATTCTGGCTGTGCTGAAACTGCTGCTGAAGGGCCTCCACCTGCTGCCTGAGGGCCTGCACACACACACACACACACACACACACACACACACACACACACACACACAGAGTCTCAACACAAGCACACAGTTTAAACCAGTTGAAAGTCACTCTGCTCGTGACTCACGCCTTGACCGAAAGAAGTGGGAGTATGTTTGTAAATGTTTTCCACAGATTTACGCCATGATTTGCTTAACCGCTCTGCATCACACCTGATGAATGATTCTCCATCGGAAGACAGGAAGTCACTTCAGGTTTCCTGAGCTTAACTATTTTTATCTCTGATAATTCTGGGGATCAACCCACTTTATATGTAAAACCAGGATTTTACCTTTAATTAGCTGCAGTGCTGAGATGCATGATGTCGTTGTGATTTGCTGAAACGTGTTGATCTAGTTGATCATTTTAGAAAACGTGGTGCTGTTGAAGTGTTTTGTCAGAAACACTGTTTTTTTGCTTTCGCTCAACAAGATACTGTACATGAGGCAGACAAAATAATAGAAACATCTGTCAGTATAACACAACACAACTCAAAAGTCACACAAACTGCATCCTGTGTAAGGCCATGCATTCAGAGTTTACACAAGAACCTGCACTACTGCTCTATTAGCCCACGTTGTTTTTAACCAGATACATAAGCCTGTCTCTTGAGATTTATAGGACAAGACTTTTGTTTGGAAATTGATGTGGTTTTGAGGAAACATAAATGTGAATGCGCTCATTATCCAAGAGTGAAAACTCTAATGCTTCCTGGTCCGTCCTGAATCAAAGCTGACTGGGTTTTTTCCCAGGATATCAAATGACGCAAAGAGTAATATTTACAAAGATAATAAAACTGTGATTGAATTATGTCCGGACAGTATATTTTAGATATAGTGTAGTCGTTTCTCATTTGCTTCACAAGCACCCTGCAACCCTCTAAAAATCTATAAAAAAAACACTGACATTTAGGACCTTATTGAATTTGTTCTATATTAAAACATTGTTTGCACAGGACTGTGATGGCATGTTAAAGTCTTTGTGTCTGTCAAATCGCAGCAACATTTATCACGCCTCCTCCTGTTTAGTTTGTAAAGCAGAAGAGATAATCGCCTCCAGTATGACAAGCAGATGAATAAATCAGATAAAAGACAGGCAGTGACTTGTCCAGGTCTGCTCCAACGGTGAAACACAAAGCAATTAAGGGAAAATATGTGCCACAGAGTTATCTATATTAAATTTCCACACAGTGATTTAAAGGTAACACAGACGACTATTTAGGTTTTCAGGTCAAATTAGGATTAGTCAGATAATTACATAGTGATT